GCTAATAAAAGAACGTTTTTGTATTTCAAGGAGAGTCTTTAAATAGTCGAAACTAGTGACAAAGTTTGCAGAAAAAAACAGCGCTTTTATGGAAAGATGCTTTCAATGAACATAACAATGGTATCTTCATATTTCAGACAATTATTTGTTAACCCATTCGAACACATATATATATGCATTCTTAGTTATTGATTATTTTTGTAAAAAATATGAATGAACAAAAATATATAGTATACACTGTTTTCCATTATACATTGATTACTTACTTCATCAATATACAATTATTGACTATTTTGTATTAATTTCAGGAGAATGTTTAAACTCGTCGAATAATAACACAAAATCAGAAGCAAACATTTGGGCGACTTTTTAAACAGGTATATTCGAATGACTGTTAGGAAAAATGCAAAACATCAAGAATAAGCTAATCAACTGTACAATTATTCTAGCTAATATAACGGCGCTGTTGAGTGTGGTTTAATTTTGTTAAAAAATATTGACTCCAAAAAAGTACGCACGTAAAACAATCTTATCCATAAGCAATTGCTAATAAAAGAACGTTTTTGTATTTCAAGGAGTGTCTTTAAAAAGTCGAAACTAGTGACAAAGTTTGCAGAAAAATAAATCAAAGCTTTTATTAAAAGATGCTTTCAATGAACATATCAATGGTAACTTCATATTTCAGACAATTAGTTGTAAACCCATTCGAACACATATACCAGCATTTTTAGTTATTGATTATGTTTGTAAAAAATCTGAATGAACAAAAATATATAGTATACACTGTTTTCCATTATACATTGATTACTTACTTCATCAATATACAATTATTGACTATTTTGTATTATTATTTCAGGAGAATGTTTAAACTCGTCAAATAATAACACAAAATCATAAGCAAACATTTGGGCGACTTTTTAAACAGGTATATTCGAATGACTGTTAGGAAAAATGCAAAACATCAAGAATAAGCCTATCAACTGTACAATTATTCTACCTAATATAACGACGCTGTTGAGTGTGGTTTAATTTGTTAAAAATATTGACTCCAAAAAAATACGCACGTAAAACAATCTTATCCATAAGCAATTACGAATAAAAGAACATTTTTGTATTGCAAGGAAAGTCTTTAAAATACCGAAATTAGTGACAAAGTTTGCAAAAAAATACATCAGCCCTTTTATGAAAAGATGCTTATAATGAACAGAACAATGGTAACTTCATATTTCAGACAATTAGTTGTAAACCCATTCGAACACATATACCAGCATTTTTAGTTATTGATTATGTTTGTAAAAAATATGAATGAACAAAAATATATAGTATACACTGTTTTCCATTATACATTGATTACTTACTTCATCAATATACAATTATTGACTATTTTGTATTATTATTTCAGGAGAATGTTTAAACTCGTCAAATAATAACACAAAATCATAAGCAAACATTTGGGCGACTTTTTAAACAGGTATATTCGAATGACTGTTAGGAAAAATGCAAAACATCAAGAATAAGCCTATCAACTGTACAATTATTCTACCTAATATAACGACGCTGTTGAGTGTGGTTTAATTTGTTAAAAATATTGACTCCAAAAAAATACGCACGTAAAACAATCTTATCCATAAGCAATTACGAATAAAAGAACATTTTTGTATTGCAAGGAAAGTCTTTAAAATACCAAAATTAGTGACAAAGTTTGCAAAAAAATACATCAGCCCTTTTATGAAAAGATGCTTATAATGAACAGAACAATGGTAACTTCATATTTCAGACAATTAGTTGTAAACCCATTCGAACACATATACCAGCATTTTTAGTTATTGATTATGTTTGTAAAAAATATGAATGAACAAAAATATATAGTATACACTGTTTTCCATTATACATTGATTACTTACTTCATCAATATACAATTATTGACTATTTTGTATTATTAATTTCAGGAGAATGTTTAAACTCGTCAAATAATAACACAAAATCATAAGCAAACATTTATGCGACTTTTTAAACAGGTATATTCGAATGACTGTTAGGAAAAATGCAAAACATCAAGAATAAGCTAATCAACTGTACAATTATTCTAGCTAATATAACGGCGCTGTTGAGTGTGGTTTAATTTTGTTAAAAAATATTGACTCCAAAAAAGTACGCACGTAAAACAATCTTATCCATAAGCAATTGCCAATACAAGAACGTTTTTGTATTTCAAGGAGAGTCTTTAAAAAGTCGAAACTAGTGACAAAGTTTGCAGAAAAATAAATCAACGCTTTTATGAAAAGATGCTTTCAATGAACGTAACAGTGGTAACTTCATATTTCAGACAATTATTTGTTAAGCCATTCGAACACACATATATATGCATTCTTAGTTATTGATTATTTTTGTAAAAAATCTGAATGAACAAAAATATATAGTATACACTGTTTTCCATTATACATTGATTACTTACTTCATCAATATACAATTATTGACTATTTTGTATTATTAATTTCAGGAGAATGTTTAAACTCGTCAAATAATAACACAAAATCATAAGCAAACATTTGGGCGACTTTTTAAACAGGTATATTCGAATGACTGTTAGGAAAATTGCAAAACATCAAGAATAAGCCTATCAACTGTACAATTATTCTCCCTAATATAACGGCGCTGTTGAGTGTGGTTTAATTTGTTAAAAATATTGACTCCAAAAAAATACGCACGTAAAACAATCTTATCCATAAGCAATTGCGAATAAAAGAACATTTTTGTATTGCAAGGAAAGTCTTTAAAATACCGAAATTAGTGACAAAGTTTGCAAAAAAATACATCAGCCCTTTTATGAAAAGATGCTTTCAATGAACATAACAATGGTAACTTCATATTTCAGACAATTAGTTGTAAACCCATTCGAACACATATACCAGCATTTTTAGTTATTGATTATGTTTGTAAAAAATATGAATGAACAAAAATATATAGTATACACTGTTTACCATCATACATTGATTACTTACTTCATCAATATACAATTATTGACTATTTTGTATTATTAATTTCAGGAGAATTATCAAACTCGTCGAATAATCACACAAAATCAGAAGCAAAAATTTTGGCGACTTTTTAAACAGGTATATTTGAATGACTGTTAGGAAAAATGCAAAACATCCAGAATAAGCTAATCAACTGTACAATTATTCTACCTAATATAACGGCGCTGTTGAGTGTGGTTTAATTTTGTTAAAAATATTGACTCCAAAAAAATACGCACGTAAAACAATCTTATCCATAAGCAACTGCTAATAAAAGAACGTTTTTGTATTTGATGGAGAGTCTTTAAATATTCGAAACTAGTGACAAAGTTTACAGAAAAAAAACAGCGCTTTTATGGAAAGATGCTTTCAATGAACATAACAATGGTATCTTCATATTTCAGACAATTATTTGTTAACCCATTCGAACACATATATATCTGCATTCTTAGTTATTGATTAATTTTGTAAAAAATCTGAATGAACAAAAATATATAGTATACACTGTTTTCCATTATACATTGATTACTTACTTCATCAATATACAATTATTGACTTTTTTGTATTATTAATTTCAGGAGAATGTTTAAACTCGTCGAATAATCACACAAAATCAGAAGCAAACATTTTGGCGACTTTTTAAACAGGTATATTCGAATGACTATTAGGAAAAATGCAAAACATCAAGTATAAGCTAATCAACTGTACAATTATTCTACCTAATATAACGGCGCTGTTGAGTGTGGTTTAATTTTGTTAAAAATATTGACTCTAAAAAAATACGCACGTAAAACAATCTTATCCATAAGCAATTGCGAATAAAAGAACATTTATGTATTGCAAGGAAAGTCTTTAAAATACCGAAATTAGTGACAAAGTTTGCAGAAAAATAAATCAGCCCTTTTATGAAAAGATGCTTTCAATGAACATAACAATGGTAACTTCATATTTCAGACAGTTAGTTGTAAACCCATTCGAACACATAAATATCTGCATTCTTAGTTATTGATTATTTTTGGAAAAAATCTGAATGAACAAAAATATATAGGATACACTGTTTTCCATTATACATTGATTACTTACTTCATCAATATACAATAATTGACTATTTTGTATTGTTAATTTCCAAAGAATGTTCAAACTCGCCGAATAATCACACAAAATCGGAAGAAAACATTTGGCGACTTTTTAAACAGGTATATTCGAATGACTGTTTGCAAAAAGCAAAACATCAAGATCAAGCTAATGAAATGAACAATTATTCTACCTAATATAACAGCGCTGTTGAGTGTGGTTAAATTTTGTCAAAAATATTAAGTCAAAAAAAGTACGCACGTAAAACAATTTTATCCATAGGCAATTTCTAATAAAAGAACGTTTTTGTATTTCAAGGAGAGTCTTTAAAAAGTCGAAACTAGTGACAAAATTTGCAGAAAAAAAAAATCAGTGCTTTTATGAAAAGATGCTTTCAATGAATATAACAATAATAACTTCATAATTCAGACAATTAGTTGTTAACCAATTTGGCGACTTTTCAACAGGTATATTCTAATGACTGTTAGGAAAAATGCAAAACATCAAGATCCAGCTAATCAACTGTACAATTATTCTACCTAATATAACGGCGCTGTTGAGTGTGGTTTACTTTTGTTAAAAATATTGACTCCAAAAAAGTACGCACGTAAAACAATCTTATCCATAAGCAACTGCTAATAAAAGAACGTTTTTGTATTTGAAGGAGAGTCTTTAAATATTCGAAACTAGTGACAAAGTTTACAGAAAAAAAAACAGCGCTTTTATGGAAAGATGCTTTCAATGAACATAACAATGGTATCTTCATATTTCAGACAATTATTTGTTAACCCATTCGAACACATATATATCTGCATTCTTAGTTATTGATTAATTTTGTAAAAAATCTGAATGAACAAAAATATATAGTATACACTGTTTTCCATTATACATTGATTACTTACTTCATCAATATACAATTATTGACTTTTTTGTATTATTAATTTCAGGAGAATGTTTAAACTCGTCGAATAATCACACAAAATCAGAAGCAAACATTTTGGCGACTTTTTAAACAGGTATATTCGAATGACTATTAGGAAAAATGCAAAACATCAAGTATAAGCTAATCAACTGTACAATTATTCTAACTAATATAACGGCGCTGTTGAGTGTGGTTTAATTTTGTTAAAAATATTGACTCTAAAAAAATACGCACGTAAAACAATCTTATCCATAAGCAATTGCGAATAAAAGAACATTTATGTATTGCAAGGAAAGTCTTTAAAATACCGAAATTAGTGACAAAGTTTGCAGAAAAATAAATCAGCCCTTTTATGAAAAGATGCTTTCAATGAACATAACAATGGTAACTTCATATTTCAGACAGTTAGTTGTAAACCCATTCGAACACATAAATATCTGCATTCTTAGTTATTGATTATTTTTGTAAAAAATCTGAATGAACAAAAATATATAGGATACACTGTTTTCCATTATACATTGATTACTTACTTCATCAATATACAATTATTGACTATTTTGTATTGTTAATTCCCAAAGAATGTTCAAACTCGCCGAAAAATCACACAAAGTCGGAAGAAAACATTTGGCGACTTTTTAAACAGGTATATTCGAATGACTGTTTGCAAAAAGCAAAACATCAAGATCAAGCTAATGAAATGAACAATTATTCTACCTAATATAACAGCGTTGTTGAGTGTGGTTAAATTTTGTTAAAAATATTAAGTCAAAAAAAGTACGCACGTAAAACAATTTTATCCATAGGCAATTTCTAATAAAAGAACGTTTTTGTATTTTAAGGAGAGTCTTTAAAAAGTCGAAACTAGTGGAAAAGTTTGCAGAAAAAAAAAATCAGTGCTTTTATGAAAAGATGCTTTCAATGAATATAACAATAATAACTTCATAATTCAGACAATTAGTTGTTAACCAATTTGGCGACTTTTCAACAGGTATATTCTAATGACTGTTAGGAAAAATGCAAAACATCAAGATCCAGCTAATCAACTGTACAATTATTCTACCTAATATAACGGCGCTGTTGAGTGTGGTTTACTTTTGTTAAAAATATTGACTCCAAAAAAGTACGCACGTAAAACAATCTTATCCATAAGCAACTGCTAATAAAAGAACGTTTTTGTATTTGAAGGAGAGTCTTTAAATATTCGAAACTAGTGACAAAGTTTACAGAAAAAAAACAGCGCTTTTATGGAAAGATGCTTTCAATGAACATAACAATGGTATCTTCATATTTCAGACAATTATTTGTTAACCCATTCGAACACATATATATCTGCATTCTTAGTTATTGATTAATTTTGTAAAAAATCTGAATGAACAAAAATATATAGTATACACTGTTTTCCATTATACATTGATTACTTACTTCATCAATATACAATTATTGACTTTTTTGTATTATTAATTTCAGGAGAATGTTTAAACTCGTCAAATAATCACACAAAATCAGAAGCAAACATTTTGGCGACTTTTTAAACAGGTATATTCGAATGACTATTAGGAAAAATGCAAAACATCAAGTATAAGCTAATCAACTGTACAATTATTCTACCTAATATAACGGCGCTGTTGAGTGTGGTTTAATTTTGTTAAAAATATTGACTCTAAAAAAATACGCACGTAAAACAATCTTATCCATAAGCAATTGCGAATAAAAGAACATTTATGTATTGCAAGGAAAGTCTTTAAAATACCGAAATTAGTGACAAAGTTTGCAAAAAAATAAATAAGCCCTTTAATTAAAAGATGCTTTCAATGAACATAACAATGGTAACTTCATATTTCAGACAGTTAGTTGTAAACCCATTCGAACACATAAATATCTGCATTCTTAGTTATTGATTATTTTTGTAAAAAATCTGAATGAACAAAAATATATAGGATACACTGTTTTCCATTATACATTGATTACTTACTTCATCAATATACAATTATTGACTATTTTGTATTGTTAATTTCCAAATAATGTTCAGTGTGGTTTAATTTTGTTAAAAATATTGACTCCAAAAAAATACGCACGTAAAACAATCTTATCCATAAGCAATTGCTAATAAAAGAACGTTTTTGTATTTCAAGGAGAGTCTTTAAAAAGTCGAAACTAGTGACAAAGTTTGCAGAAAAATAAATCAACGCTTTTATGAAAGGATGCTTTCAATGAACATAAAAATGGTAACTTCATATTTCAGACAATTAGATGAAAACCCATTCGAACACACATACCTGCATTTTTAGTTACTAATTATGTTTGTAAAAAATATGAATGAACAAAAATATATAGTATACATTATTTTCCATTATACATTGATTACTTACTTCATCAATATACAATTATTGACTATTTTGTATTATTAATTTCAGGAGAGTTTTCAAACTCGTCGAATAATCACACAAAATCAGAAGCAAAAACGTTGGCGACTTTTCAACAGGTATATTCTAATGACTGTTAGGAAAAATGCAAAACATCAAGAATAAGCTAATCAACTGTACAATTATTCTAGCTAATATAACGGCGCTGTTGAGTGTGGTTTAATTTTGTTAAAAAATATTGACTCCAAAAAAGTACGCACGTAAAACAATCTTATCCATAAGCAATTGCTAATAAAAGAACGTTTTTGTATTTCAAGGAGTGTCTTTAAAAAGTCGAAACTAGTGACAAAGTTTGCAGAAAAATAAATCAACGCTTTTATTAAAAGATGCTTTCAATGAACATATCAATGGTAACTTCATATTTCAGACAATTAGTTGTAAACCCATTCGAACACATATACCAGCATTTTTAGTTATTGATTATGTTTGTAAAAAATATGAATGCACAAAAATATATAGTACACATTGTTATCCATTATACATTGATTACTTACTTCATCAATATACAATTATTGACTATTTTGTATTATTATTTCAGGAGAATGTCCAAACTCGCCGAATAATCTCACAAAATCGGAAAAAAACATTTGGCGACTTTTTAAACAGGTATATTCGAATGACTGTTTGAAAAAGCAAAACATCAAGATCAAACAAATGAAATGAACAATTATTCTACCTAATATAACAGCGCTGTTGAGTGTGGTTAAATTTTGTTAAAAATATTGACTCAAAAAAAATACGCACGTAAAACAATTTTATCCATAGGCAATTTCTAATAAAAGAACGTTTTTGTATTTCAAGGAGAGTCTTTAAAAAGTCGAAACTAGTGACAAAGTTTGGAGAAAAAAAAAATCAGCGCTTTTATGAAAGATGCTTTCAATGAATATAACAACAGTAACTTCATAATTCAGACAATTAGTTGTTAACCAATTTGAACACATATGTCTGCATTCTTAGTAATTGATTATTTTTGTCAAAAATATGATTGAACAAAAATATATAGTATACACTGTTTTCCATTATACATTGATTACTTACTTCATCAATATACAATTATTGACTATTTTGTATTATTAATTTCAGGAGTATTTTCAAACTCGTCGAATAATCACACAAAATCAGAAGCAAAAATTTTGGCGTCTTTTTAAACAGGTATATTCGAATGACTGTTAGGAAAAATGCAAAACATCAAGAATAAGCTAATCAACTGTACAATTATTCTAGCTAATATAACGGCGCTGTTGAGTGTGGTTTAATTTTGTTAAAAAATATTGACTCAAAAAAAGTACGCACGTAAAACAATCTTATCCATAAGCAAATTGCTAATACAAGAACGTTTTTGTATTTCAAGGAGAGTCTTTAAAAAGTCGAAACTAGTGACAAAGTTTGCAGAAAAATAAATCAACGCTTTTATGAAAAGATGCTTTCAATGAACATAACAATGGTAACTTCATATTTCAGACAATTATTTGTTAACCCATTCGAACACACATATGTCTGCATTTTTAGTTACTAATTATGTTTGTAAAAAATATGAATGAACAAAAATATAAAGTATACATTGTTTTCCATTATACATTGATTACTTACTTCATCAATATACAATTATTGACTATTTTGTATCATTAATTTTAGGAGAATTTTCAAACTCGTCGAATAATCACACAAAATCAGAAGCAAAAACGTTGGCGACTTTTCAACAGGTATATTCTAATGACTGTTAGGAAAAATGCAAAACATTAAGATCAAGCTAATCAACTGTACAATTATTCTACCTAATATAACGGCGCTGTTGAGTGTGGTTTACTTTTGTTAAAAATATTTACTCAAAAAAAGTACGCACGTAAAACAATCTTATCCATAACAAACTGCTAATAAAAGAACGTTTTTGTATTTCAAGGAGAGTCTTTAAATAGTCGAAACTAGTGACAAAGTTTGCAGAAAAAAACAGCGCTTTTATGGAAAGATGCTTTCAATGAACATAACAATGGTATCTTCATATTTCAGACAATTATTTGTTAACCCATTCGAACACATATATATATGCATTCTTAGTTATTGATTATTTTTGTAAAAAATCTGAATGAACAAAAATATATAGTATACACTGTTTTCCATTATACATTGATTACTTACTTCATCAATATACAATTATTGACTATTTTGTATTAATTTCAGGAGAATGTTTCAACTCGTCGAATAATAACACAAAATCAGAAGCAAACATTTGGGCGACTTTTTAAACAGGTATATTCGAATGACTGTTAGGAAAAATGCAAAACATCAAGAATAAGCTAATCAACTGTACAATTATTCTAGCTAATATAACGGCGCTGTTGAGTGTGGTTTAATTTTGTTAAAAAATATTGACTCCAAATAAGTACGCACGTAAAACAATCTTATCCATAAGCAATTGTTAATAAAAGAACGTTTTTGTATTTCAAGGAGTGTCTTTAAAAAGTCGAAACTAGTGACAAAGTTTGCAGAAAAATAAATCAACGCTTTTATTAAAAGATGCTTTCAATGAACATATCAATGGTAACTTCATATTTCAGACAATTAGTTGTAAACCCATTCGAACACATATACCAGCATTTTTAGTTATTGATTATGTTTGTAAAAAATATGAATGCACAAAAATATATAGTATACATTGTTATCCATTATACATTGATTACTTACTTCATCAATATACAATTATTGACTATTTTGTATTATTATTTCAGGAGAATGTCCAAACTCGCCGAATAATCTCACAAAATCGGAAAAAAACATTTGGCGACTTTTTAAACAGGTATATTCGAATGACTGTTTGAAAAAGCAAAACATCAAGATCAAACAAATGAAATGAACAATTATTCTACCTAATATAACAGCGCTGTTGAGTGTGGTTAAATTTTGTTAAAAATATTAAGTCAAAAAAAATACGCACGTAAAACAATTTTATCCATAGGCAATTTCTAATAAAAGAACGTTTTTGTATTTCAAGGAGAGTCTTTAAAAAGTCGAAAGTAGTGACAAAGTTTGGAGAAAAAAAAAATCAGCGCTTTTATGAAAGATGCTTTCAATGAATATAACAATAGTAACTTCATAATTCAGACAATTAGTTGTTAACCAATTTGAACACATATGTCTGCATTCTTAGTTATTGATTATTTTTGTCAAAAATATGATTGAACAAAAATATATAGTATACACTGTTTTCCATTATACATTGATTACTTACTTCATCAATATACAATTATTGACTATTTTGTATTATTAATTTCAGGAGTATTTTCAAACTCGTCGAATAATCACACAAAATCAGAAGCAAAAATTTTGGCGACTTTTTAAACAGGTATATTCGAATGACTGTTAGGAAAAATGCAAAACATCAAGAATAAGCTAATCAACTGTACAATTATTCTAGCTAATATAACAGCGCTGTTGAGTGTGGTTTAATTTTGTTAAAAAATATTGACTCAAAAAAAGTACGCACGTAAAACAATCTTATCCATAAGCAAATTGCTAATACAAGAACGTTTTTGTATTTCAAGGAGAGTCTTTAAAAAGTCGAAACTAGTGACAAAGTTTGCAGAAAAATAAATCAACGCTTTTATGAAAAGATGCTTTCAATGAACATAACAATGGTAACTTCATATTTCAGACAATTATTTGTTAACCCATTCGAACACACATATGTCTGCATTTTTAGTTACTAATTATGTTTGTAAAAAATATGAATGAACAAAAATATAAAGTATACATTGTTTTCCATTATACATTGATTACTTACCTCATCAATATACAATTATTGACTATTTTGTATCATTAATTTCAGGAGAATTTTCAAACTCGTCGAATAATCACACAAAATCAGAAGCAAAAACGTTGGCGACTTTTCAACAGGTATATTCTAATGACTGTTAGGAAAAATGCAAAACATTAAGATCAAGCTAATCAACTGTACAATTATTCTACCTAATATAACGGCGCTGTTGAGTGTGGTTTACTTTTGTTAAAAATATTTACTCAAAAAAAGTACGCACGTAAAACAATCTTATCCATAACAAACTGCTAATAAAAGAACGTTTTTGTATTTCAAGGAGAGTCTTTAAAAAGTCGAAACTAGTGACAAAGTTTGCAGAAAAATAAATCAACGCTTTTATGAAAAGATGCTTTCAATGAACATAACAATGGTAACTTCATATTTCAGACAATTATTTGTTAACCCATTCGAACACACATATGTCTGCATTTTTAGTTACTAATTATGTTTGTAAAAAATATGAATGAACAAAAATATAAAGTATACATTGTTTTCCATTATACATTGATTACTTACTTCATCAATATACAATTATTGACTATTTTGTATCATTAATTTCAGGAGAATTTTCAAACTCGTCGAATAATCACACAAAATCAGAAGCAAAAACGTTGGCGACTTTTCAACAGGTATATTCTAATGACTGTTAGGAAAAATGCAAAACATTAAGATCAAGCTAATCAACTGTACAATTATTCTACCTAATATAACGGCGCTGTTGAGTGTGGTTTACTTTTGTTAATAATATTTACTCAAAAAAAGTACGCACGTAAAACAATCTTATCCATAACAAACTGCTAATAAAAGAACGTTTTTGTATTTCAAGGAGAGTCTTTAAATAGTCGAAACTAGTGACAAAGTTTGCAGAAAAAAACAGCGCTTTTATGGAAAGATGCTTTCAATGAACATAACAATGGTATCTTCATATTTCAGACAATTATTTGTTAACCCATTCGAACACATATATATATATGCATTCTTAGTTATTGATTATTTTTGTAAAAAATCTGAATGAACAAAAATATATAGTATACACTGTTTTCCATTATACATTGATTACTTACTTCATCAATATACAATTATTGACTATTTTGTATTAATTTCAGGAGAATGTTTAAACTCGTCGAATAATAACACAAAATCAGAAGCAAACATTTGGGCGACTTTTTAAACAGGTATATTCGAATGACTGTTAGGAAAAATGCAAAACATCAAGAATAAGCTAATCAACTGTACAATTATTCTAGCTAATATAACGGCGCTGTCGAGTGTGGTTTAATTTTGTTAAAAAATATTGACTCCAAAAAAGTACGCACGTAAAACAATCTTATCCATAAGCAATTGCTAATAAAATAACGTTTTTGTATTTCAAGGAGTGTCTTTAAAAAGTCGAAACTAGTGACAAAGTTTGCAGAAAAATAAATCAACGCTTTTATTAAAAGATGCTTTCAATGAACATATCAATGGTAACTTCATATTTCAGACAATTAGTTGTAAACCCATTCGAACACATATACCAGCATTTTTAGTTATTGATTATGTTTGTAAAAAATATGAATGAACAAAAATATATAGTATACACTGTTTTCCATTATACATTGATTACTTACTTCATCAATATACAATTATTGACTATTTTGTATTATTATTTCAGGAGAATGTCCAAACTCGCCGAATAATCTCACAAAATCGGAAAAAAACATTTGGCGACTTTTTAAACAGGTATATTCGAATGACTGTTTGAAAAAGCAAAACATCAAGATCAAACAAATGAAATGAACAATTATTCTACCTAATATAACAGCGCTGTTGAGTGTGGTTTAATTTTGTTAAAAAATATTGACTCCAAAAAAGTACGCACGTAAAACAATCTTATCCATAAGCAACTGCTAATAAAAGAACGTTTTTGTATTTCAAGGAGAGTCTTTAAATATTCGAAACTAGTGACAAAGTTTGCAGAAAATAACAGCGCTTTTATGGAAAGATGCTTTCAATGAACATAACAATGGTATCTTCATATTTCAAACAATTATTTGTTAACCCATTCGAACACATATATATATGCATTCTTAGTTATTGATTATTTTTGTAAAAAATCTGAATGAACAAAAATATATAGTATACACTGTTTTCCATTATACATTGATTACTTACTTCATCAATATACAATTATTGACTATTTTGTATTATTATTTCAGGAGAATGTTTAAACTCGTCAAATAATAACACAAAATCATAAGCAAACATTTGGGCGACTTTTTAAACAGGTATATTCGAATGACTGTTAGGAAAAATGCAAAACATCAAGAATAAGCCTATCAACTGTACAATTATTCTACCTAATATAACGACGCTGTTGAGTGTGGTTTAATTTGTTAAAAATATTGACTCCAAAAAAATACGCACGTAAAACAATCTTATCCATAAGCAATTACGAATAAAAGAACATTTTTGTATTGCAAGGAAAGTCTTTAAAATACCGAAATTAGTGACAAAGTTTGCAAAAAAATACATCAGCCCTTTTATGAAAAGATGCTTATAATGAACAGAACAATGGTAACTTCATATTTCAGACAATTAGTTGTAAACCCATTCGAACACATATACCAGCATTTTTAGTTATTGATTATGTTTGTAAAAAATATGAATGAACAAAAATATATAGTATACACTGTTTTCCATTATACATTGATTACTTACTTCATCAATATACAATTATTGACTATTTTGTATTATTAATTTCAGGAGAATGTTTAAACTCGTCAAATAATAACACAAAATCATAAGCAAACATTTATGCGACTTTTTAAACAGGTATATTCGAATGACTGTTAGGAAAAATGCAAAACATCAAGAATAAGCTAATCAAATGTACAATTATTCTAGCTAATATAACGGCGCTGTTGAGTGTGGTTTAATTTTGTTAAAAAATATTGACTCCAAAAAAGTACGCACGTAAAACAATCTTATCCATAAGCAATTGCGAATAAAAGAACATTTATGTATTGCAAGGAAAGTCTTTAAAATACCGAAATTAGTGACAAAGTTTGCAGAAAAATAAATCAGCCCTTTTATGAAAAGATGCTTTCAATGAACATAACAATGGTAACTTCATATTTCAGACAGTTAGTTGTAAACCCATTCGAACACATAAATATCTGCATTCTTAGTTATTGATTATTTTTGTAAAAAATCTGAATGAACAAAAATATATAGGATACACTGTTTTCCATTATACATTGATTACTTACTTCATCAATATACAATTATTGACTATTTTGTATTGTTAATTTCCAAAGAATGTTCAAACTCGCCAAAAAATCACACAAAATCGGAAGAAAACATTTGGCGACTTTTTAAACAGGTATATTCGAATGACTGTTTGCAAAAAGCAAAACATCAAGATCAAGCTTATGAAATGAACAATTATTCTACCTAATATAACAGCGCTGTTGAGTGTGGTTAAATTTTGTTAAAAATATTAAGTCAAAAAAAGTACGCACGTAAAACAATTTTATCCATAGGCAATTTCTAATAAAAGAACGTTTTTGTATTTTAAGGAGAGTCTTTAAAAAGTCGAAACTAGTGACAAAGTTTGCAGAAAAAAAAAATCAGTGCTTTTATGAAAATATGCTTTCAATGAATATAACAATAATAACTTCATAATTCAGACAATTAGTTGTTAACCAATTTGGCGACTTTTCAACAGGTATATTCTAATGACTGTTAGGAAAAATGCAAAACATCAAGATCCAGCTAATCAACTGTACAATTATTCTACCTAATATAACGGCGCTGTTGAGTGTGGTTTACTTTTGTTAAAAATATTGACTCCAAAAAAGTACGCACGTAAAACAATCTTATCCATAAGCAACTGCTAATAAAAGAACGTTTTTGTATTTGAAGGAGAGTCTTTAAATATTCGAAACTAGTGACAAAGTTTACAGAAAAAAACAGCGCTTTTATGGAAAGATGCTTTCAATGAACATAACAATGGTATCTTCATATTTCAGACAATTATTTGTTAACCCATTCGAACACATATATATCTGCATTCTTAGTTATTGATTAATTTTGTAAAAAATCTGAATGAACAAAAATATATAGTATACACTGTTTTCCATTATACATTGATTACTTACTTCATCAATATACAATTATTGACTTTTTTGTATTATTAATTTCAGGAGAATGTTTAAACTCGTCGAATAATCACACAAAATCAGAAGCAAACATTTTGGCGACTTTTTAAACAGGTATATTCGAATGACTATTAGGAAAAATGCAAAACATCAAGTATAAGCTAATCAACTGTACATTTATTCTACCTAATATAACGGCGCTGTTGAGTGTGGTTTAATTTTGTTAAAAATATTGACTCTAAAAAAATACGCACGTAAAACAATCTTATCCATAAGCAATTGCGAATAAAAGAACATTTATGTATTGCAAGGAAAGTCTTTAAAATACCGAAATTAGTGACAAAGTTTGCAAAAAAATAAATCAGCCCTTTAATGAAAAGATGCTTTCAATGAACATAACAATGGTAACTTCATATTTCAGACAGTTAGTTGTAAACCCATTCGAACACATAAATATCTGCATTCTTAGTTATTGATTATTTTTGTAAAAAATCTGAATGAACAAAAATATATAGGATACACTGTTTTCCATTATACATTGATTACTTACTTCATCAATATACAATTATTGACTATTTTGTATTGTTAATTTCCAAAGAATGTTCAGTGTGGTTTAATTTTGTTAAAAATATTGACTCCAAAAAAATACGCACGTAAAACAATCTTATCCATAAGCAATTGCTAATAAAAGAACGTTTTTGTATTTCAAGTAGAGTCTTTAAAAAGTCGAAACTAGTGACAAAGTTTGCAGAAAATTAAATTAACGCTTTTATGAAAGGATGCTTTCAATGAACATAACAATGGTAACTTCATATTTCAGACAATTAGATGAAAACCCATTCGAACACACATACCTGCATTTTTAGTTACTAATTATGTTTGTAAAAAATATAACTGAACAAAAATATATAGTATACATTGTTTTCCATTATACATTGATTACTTACTTCATCAATATACAATTATTGACTATTTTGTATTATTAATTTCAGGAGAGTTTTCAAACTCGTCGAATAATCACACAAAATCAGAAGCAAAAACGTTGGCGACTTTTCAACAGGTATATTCTAATGACTGTTAGGAAAAATGCAAAACATCAAGATCCAGCTAATCAACTGTACAATTATTCTACCTAATATAACGGCGCTGTTGAGTGTGGTTTACTTTTGTTAAAAATATTGACTCCAAAAAAGTACGCACGTAAAACAATCTTATCCATAAGCAAATTGCTAATACAAGAACGTTTTTGTATTTCAAGGAGAGTCTTTAAAAAGTCGAAACTAGTGACAAAGTTTGCAGAAAAATAAATAAACGCTTTTATGAAAAGATGCTTTCAATGAACATAACAATGGTAACTTCATATTTCAGACAATTATTTGTTAACCCATTCGAACACACATATGTCTGCATTTTTAGTTACTAATTATGTTTGTAAAAAATATGAATGAACAAAAATATAAAGTATACATTGTTTTCCATTATACATTGATTACTTACTTCATCAATATACAATTATTGACTATTTTGTATCATTAATTTCAGGAGAATTTTCAAACTCGTCGAATAATCACACAAAATCAGAAGCAAAAACGTTGGCGACTTTTCAACAGGTATATTCTAATGACTGTTAGGAAAAATGCAAAACATTAAGATCAAGCTAATCAACTGTACAATTATTCTACCTAATATAACGGCGCTGTTGAGTGTGGTTTACTTTTGTTAAAAATATTTACTCAAAAAAAGTACGCACGTAAAACAATCTTATCCATAACAAACTGCTAATAAAAGAACTTTTTTGTATTTCAAGGAGAGTCTTTAAATAGTCGAAACTAGTGACAAAGTTTGCAGAAAAAAACAGCGCTTTTATGGAAAGATGCTTTCAATGAACATAACAATGGTATCTTCATATTTCAGACAATTATTTGTTAACCCATTCGAACACATATATATATGCATTCTTCGTTATTGATTATTTTTGTAAAAAATCTGAATAAACAAAAATATATAGTATGCACTGTTTTCCATTATACATTGATTACTTACTTCATCAATATACAATTATTGACTATTTTGTATTAATTTCAGGAGAATGTTTAAACTCGTCGAATAATAAAACAAAATCAGAAGCAAACATTTGGGCGACTTTTTAAACAGGTATATTCGAATGACTGTTAGGAAAAATGCAAAACATCAAGAATAAGCCTATCAACTGTACAATTATTTTACCTAATATAACGGCGCTGTTGAGTGTGGTTTAATTTTTATTAAAAATATTGACTCCAAAAAAATACGCACGTAAAACAATCTTATCCATAAGTAATTGCGAATAAAAGAACATTTTTGTATTGCAAGGAAAGTCTTTAAAATACCGAAATTAGTGACAAAGTTTGCAAAAAAATACATCAGCCCTTTTATGAAAAGATGCTTTCAATGAACATAACAATGGTAACTTCATATTTCAAAAAATTAGTTGTAAACCCATTCGAACACATATACCAGCATTTTTAGTTATTGATTATGTTTGTAAAAAATATGAATGAACAAAAATATATAGTATACACTGTTTACCATCATACATTGATTACTTACTTCATCAATATACAATTATTGACTATTTTGTATTATTAATTTCAGGAGAATTATCAAATTCGTCGAATAATCACACAAAATCAGAAGCAAAAATTTTGGCGACTTTTTAAACAGGTATATTTGAATGACTGTTAGGAAAAATGCAAAACATCCAGAATAAGCTAATCAACTGTACAATTATTCTACCTAATATAACGGCGCAGTTGAGTGTGGTTTAATTTTGTTAAAAATATTGACTCCAAAAAAATACGCACGTAAAACAATCTTATCCATAAGCAATTGCTAATAAAAGAACGTTTTTGTATTTCAAGGAGTGTCTTTAAAAAGTCGAAACTAGTGACAAAGTTTGCAGAAAAATAAATCAACGCTTTTATTAAAAGATGCTTTCAATGAACATAACAATGATAACTTCATATTTCAGACAATTAGACGTAAACCCATTCGAACACACATACCTGCATTTTTAGTTACTAATTATGTTTGTAAAAATATGAATGCACAAAAATATATAGTATACATTGTTATCCATTATACATTGATTACTTACTTCATCAATATACAATTATTGACTATTTTGTATTATTAATTTCAGGAGAATGTTCAAACTCGTCGAATAATCTCACCAAATCGGAAGAAACAGTTTGGCGACTTTTTAAACAGGTATATTCGAATGACTGTTAGGAAAAAAGCAAAACATCAAGATCAAGCTAATCAACTGTACAGTTATTCTACCTAATATAACGGCGCTGTTGAGTGTGGTTTACTTTTGTTAAAAATATTGACTCAAAAAAAGTACGCACGTAAAACAATCTTATCCATAAGCAATTGCTAATAAAAGAACGTTTTTGTATTTCAAGGAGTGTCTTTAAAAAGTCGAAACTAGTGACAAAGTTTGCAGAAAAATAAATCAACGCTTTTATTAAAAGATGCTTTCAATGAACATATCAATGGTTACTTCATATTTCAGACATTTAGTTGTAAACCCATTCCAACACATATACCAGCATTTTTAGTTATTGATTATGTTTGTAAAAAATATGAATGAACAAAAATATATAGTATACACTGTTTTCCATTATACATTGATTACTTACTTCATCAATATACAATTATTGACTATTTTGTATTATTATTTCAGGAGAATGTCCAAACTCGACGAATAATCTCACAAAATCGGAAGAAAACATTTGGCGACTTTTTAAACAGGTATATTCGAATGACTGTTTGAAAAAGCAAAACATCAAGATCAAACAAATGAAATGAACAATTATTCTACCTAATATAACAGCGCTGTTGAGTGTGGTTAAATTTTGTTAAAAATATTAAGTAAAAAAAAGTACGCACGTAAAACAATTTTATCCATAGGCAATTTCTAATAAAAGAACGTTTTTGTATTTCAAGGAGAGTCTTTAAAAAGTCGAAACTAGTGACAAAGTTTGGAGAAAAAAAAATCAGCGCTTTTATGAAAGATGCTTTCAATGAATATAACAATAGTAACTTCATAATTCAGACAATTAGTTGTTAACCAATTTGAACACATATGTCTGCATTCTTAGTTATTGATTATTTTTGTCAAAAATATGATTGAACAAAAATATATAGTATACACTGTTTTCCATTATACATTGATTACTTACTTCATCAATATACAATTATTGACTATTTTGTATTATTAATTTCAGGAGTATTTTCAAACTCGTCGAATAATCACACAAAATCAGAAGCAAAAATTTTGGCGACTTTTTAAACAGGTATGTTCGAATGACTGTTAGGAAAAATGCAAAACATCAAGAATAAGCTAATCAACTGTACAATTATTCTAGCTAATATAACGGCGCTGTTGAGTGTGGTTTAATTTTGTAAAAAAAAATTGACTCTAAAAAAGTACGCACGTAAACCAATCTTATCCATAAGCAAATTGCTAATACAAGAACGTTTTTGTATTTCAAGGAGAGTCTTTAAAAAGTCGAAACTAGTGACAAAGTTTGCAGAAAAATAAATCAACGCTTTTATGAAAAGATGCTTTCAATGAACATAACAATGGTAACTTCATATTTCAGACAATTATTTGTTAACCCATTCGAACACACATATGTCTGCATTTTTAGTTACTAATTATGTTTGTAAAAAATATGAATGAACAAAAATATAAAGTATACATTGTTTTCCATTATACATTGATTACTTACTTCATCAATATACAATTATTGACTATTTTGTATCATTAATTTCATGAGAATTTTCAAACTCGTCGAATAATCACACAAAATCAGAAGCAAAAACGTTGGCGACTTTTCAACAGGTATATTCTAATGACTGTTAGGAAAAATGCAAAACATTAAGATCAAGCTAATCAACTGTACAATTATTCTACCTAATATAACGGCGCTGTTGAGTGTGGTTTACTTTTGTTAAAAATATTTACTCAAAAAAAGTACGCACGTAAAACAATCTTATCCATAACAAACTGCTAATAAAAGAACGTTTTTGTATTTCAAGGAGAGTCTTTAAATAGTCGAAACTAGTGACAAAGTTTGCAGAAAAAAACAGCGCTTTTATGGAAAGATGCTTTCAATGAACATAACAATGGTATCTTTATATTTCAGACAATTATTTGTTAACCCATCCGAACACATATATATATGCATTCTTAGTTATTGATTATTTTTGTAAAAAATCTGAATGAACAAAAATATATAGTATACACTGTTTTCCATTATACATTGATTACTTACTTCATCAATATACAATTATTGACTATTTTGTATTAATTTCAGGATAATGTTTAAACTCGTCGAATAATAACACAAAATCAGAAGCAAACATTTGGGCGACTTTTTAAACAGGTATATTCGAATGACTGTTAGGAAAAATGCAAAACATCAAGAATAAGCTAATCAACTGTACAATTATTCTAGCTAATATAACGGCGCTGTTGAGTGTGGTTTAATTTTGTTAAAAAATATTGACTCTAAAAAAGTACGCACGTAAACCAATCTTATCCATAAGCAAATTGCTAATACAAGAACGTTTTTGTATTTCAAGGAGAGTCTTTAAAAAGTCGAAACTAGTGACAAAGTTTGCAGAAAAATAAATCAACGCTTTTATGAAAAGATGCTTTCAATGAACATAACAATGGTAACTTCATATTTCAGACAATTATTTGTTAACCCATTCGAACACACATATGTCTGCATTTTTAGTTACTAATTATGTTTGTAAAAAATATGAATGAACAAAAATATAAAGTATACATTGTTTTCCATTATACATTGATTACTTACTTCATCAATATACAATTATTGACTATTTTGTATCATTAATTTCATGAGAATTTTCAAACTCGTCGAATAATCACACAAAATCAGAAGCAAAAACGTTGGCGACTTTTCAACAGGTATATTCTAATGACTGTTAGGAAAAATGCAAAACATTAAGATCAAGCTAATCAACTGTACAATTATTCTACCTAATATAACGGCGCTGTTGAGTGTGGTTTACTTTTGTTAAAAATATTTACTCAAAAAAAGTACGCACGTAAAACAATCTTATCCATAACAAACTGCTAATAAAAGAACGTTTTTGTATTTCAAGGAGAGTCTTTAAATAGTCGAAACTAGTGACAAAGTTTGCAGAAAAAAACAGCGCTTTTATGGAAAGATGCTTTCAATGAACATAACAATGGTATCTTTATATTTCAGACAATTATTTGTTAACCCATCCGAACACATATATATATGCATTCTTAGTTATTGATTATTTTTGTAAAAAATCTGAATGAACAAAAATATATAGTATACACTGTTTTCCATTATACATTGATTACTTACTTCATCAATATACAATTATTGACTATTTTGTATTAATTTCAGGAGAATGTTTAAACTCGTCGAATAATAACACAAAATCAGAAGCAAACATTTGGGCGACTTTTTAAACAGGTATATTCGAATGACTGTTAGGAAAAATGCAAAACATCAAGAATAAGCTAATCAACTGTACAATTATTCTAGCTAATATAACGGCGCTGTTGAGTGTGGTTTAATTTTGTTAAAAAATATTGACTCTAAAAAAGTACGCACGTAAACCAATCTTATCCATAAGCAAATTGCTAATACAAGAACGTTTTTGTATTTCAAGGAGAGTCTTTAAAAAGTCGAAACTAGTGACAAAGTTTGCAGAAAAATAAATCAACGCTTTTATGAAAAGATGCTTTCAATGAACATAACAATGGTAACTTCATATTTCAGACAATTATTTGTTAACCCATTCGAACACACATATGTCTGCATTTTTAGTTACTAATTATGTTTGTAAAAAATATGAATGAACAAAAATATAAAGTATACATTGTTTTCCATTATACATTGATTACTTACTTCATCAATATACAATTATTGACTATTTTGTATCATTAATTTCAGGAGAATTTTCAAACTCGTCGAATAATCACACAAAATCAGAAGCAAAAACGTTGGCGACTTTTCAACAGGTATATTCTAATGACTGTTAGGAAAAATGCAAAACATTAAGATCAAGCTAATCAACTGTACAATTATTCTACCTAATATAACGGCGCTGTTGAGTGTGGTTTACTTTTGTTAAAAATATTTACTCAAAAAAAGTACGCACGTAAAACAATCTTATCCATAACAAACTGCTAATAAAAGAACGTTTTTGTATTTCAAGGAGAGTCTTTAAATAGTCGAAACTAGTGACAAAGTTTGCAGAAAAAAACAGCGCTTTTATGGAAAGATGCTTTCAATGAACATAACAATGGTATCTTTATATTTCAGACAATTATTTGTTAACCCATTCGAACACATATATATATGCATTCTTAGTTATTGATTATTTTTGTACAAAATCTGAATGAACAAAAATATATAGTATACACTGTTTTCCATTATACATTGATTACTTACTTCATCAATATACAATTATTGACTATTTTGTATTAATTTCAGGAGAATGTTTAAACTCGTCGAATAATAACACAAAATCAGAAGCAAACATTTGGGCGACTTTTTAAACAGGTATATTCGAATGACTGTTAGGAAAAATGCAAAACATCAAGAATAAGCTAATCAACTGTACAATTATTCTAGCTAATATAACGGCGCTGTTGAGTGTGGTTTAATTTTGTTAAAAAATATTGACTCCAAAAAAGTACGCACGTAAAACAATCTTATCCATAAGCAATTGCTAATAAAAGAACGTTTTTGTATTTCAAGGAGTGTCTTTAAAAAGTCGAAACTAGTGACAAAGTTTGCAGAAAAATAAATCAACGCTTTTATTAAAAGATGCTTTCAATGAACATAACAATGATAACTTCATATTTCAGACAATTAGACGTAAACCCATTCGAACACACATACCTGCATTTTTAGTTACTAATTATGTTTGTAAAAATATGAATGCACAAAAATATATAGTATACATTGTTATCCATTATACATTGATTACTTACTTCATCAATATACAATTATTGACTATTTTGTATTATTAATTTCAGGAGAATGTTCAAACTCGTCGAATAATCTCACCAAATCGGAAGAAACAGTTTGGCGACTTTTTAAACAGGTATATTCGAATGACTGTTAGGAAAAAAGCAAAACATCAAGATCAAGCTAATCAACTGTACAGTTATTCTACCTAATATAACGGCGCTGTTGAGTGTGGTTTACTTTTGTTAAAAATATTGACTCAAAAAAAGTACGCACGTAAAACAATCTTATCCATAAGCAATTGCTAATAAAAGAACGTTTTTGTATTTCAAGGAGTGTCTTTAAAAAGTCGAAACTAGTGACAAAGTTTGCAGAAAAATAAATCAACGCTTTTATTAAAAGATGCTTTCAATGAACATATCAATGGTTACTTCATATTTCAGACATTTAGTTGTAAACCCATTCCAACACATATACCAGCATTTTTAGTTATTGATTATGTTTGTAAAAAATATGAAGGAACAAAAATATATAGTATACACTGTTTTCCATTATACATTGATTACTTACTTCATCAATATACAATTATTGACTATTTTGTATTATTATTTCAGGAGAATGTCCAAAGTCGACGAATAATCTCACAAAATCGGAAGAAAACATTTGGCGACTTTTTAAACAGGTATATTCGAATGACTGTTTGAAAAAGCAAAACATCAAGATCAAACAAATGAAATGAACAATTATTCTACCTAATATAACAGATCTGTTGAGTGTGGTTAAATTTTGTTAAAAATATTAAGTAAAAAAAAGTACGCACGTAAAACAATTTTATCCATAGGCAATTTCTAATAAAAGAACGTTTTTGTATTTCAAGGAGAGTCTTTAAAAAGTCGAAACTAGTGACAAAGTTTGGAGAAAAAAAAAATCAGCGCTTTTATGAAAGATGCTTTCAATGAATATAACAATAGTAACTTCATAATTCAGACAATTAGTTGTTAACCAATTTGAACACATATGTCTGCATTCTTAGTTATTGATTATTTTTGTCAAAAATATGATTGAACAAAAATATATAGTATACACTGTTTTCCATTATACATTGATTACTTACTTCATCAATATACAATTATTGACTATTTTGTATTATTGATTTCAGGAGTATTTTCAAACTCGTCGAATAATCACACAAAATCAGAAGCAAAAATTTTGGCGACTTTATAAACAGGTATATTCGAATGACTGTTAGGAAAAATGCAAAACATCAAGAATAAGCTAATCAACTGTACAATTATTCTAGCTAATATAACGGCGCTGTTGAGTGTGGTTTAATTTTGTAAAAAAATATTGACTCAAAAAAAGTACGCACGTAAACCAATCTTATCCATAAGCAAATTGCTAATACAAGAACGTTTTTGTATTTCAAGGAGAGTCTTTAAAAAGTCGAAACTAGTGACAAAGTTTGCAGAAAAATAAATCAACGCTTTTATGAAAAGATGCTTTCAATGAACATAACAATGGTAACTTCATATTTCAGACAATTATTTGTTAACCCATTCGAACACACATATGTCTGCATTTTTAGTTACTAATTATTTTTGTAAAAAATATGAATGAACAAAAATATAAAGTATACATTGTTTTCCATTATACATTGATTACTTACTTCATCAATATACAATTATTGACTATTTTGTATCATTAATTTCAGGAGAATTTTCAAACTCGTCGAATAATCACACAAAATCAGAAGCAAAAACGTTGGCGACTTTTCAACAGGTATATTCTAATGACTGTTAGGAAAAATGCAAAACATTAAGATCAAGCTAATCAACTGTACAATTATTCTACCTAATATAACGGCGCTGTTGAGTGTGGTTTACTTTTGTTAAAAATATTTACTCAAAAAAAGTACGCACGTAAAACAATCTTATCCATAACAAACTGCTAATAAAAGAACGTTTTTGTATTTCAAGGAGAGTCTTTAAATAGTCGAAACTAGTGACAAAGTTTGCAGAAAAAAACAGCGCTTTTATGGAAAGATGCTTTCAATGAACATAACAATGGTATCTTCATATTTCAGACAATTATTTGTTAACCCATCCGAACACATATATATATGCATTCTTAGTTATTGATTATTTTTGTAAAAAATCTGAATGAACAAAAATATATAGTATACACTGTTTTCCATTATACATTGATTACTTACTTCATCAATATACAATTATTGACTATTTTGTATTAATTTCAGGAGAATGTTTAAACTCGTCGAATAATAACACAAAATCAGAAGCAAACATTTGGGCGACTTTTTAAACAGGTATATTCGAATGACTGTTAGGAAAAATGCAAAACATCAAGAATAAGCTAATCAACTGTACAATTATTCTAGCTAATATAACGGCGCTGTTGAGTGTGGTTTAATTTTGTTAAAAAATATTGACTCCAAAAAAGTACGCACGTAAAACAATCTTATCCATAAGCAATTGCTAATAAAAGAACGTTTTTGTATTTCAAGGAGTGTCTTTAAAAAGTCGAAACTAGTGACAAAGTTTGCAGAAAAATAAATCAACGCTTTTATTAAAAGATGCTTTCAATGAACATATCAATGGTAACTTCATATTTCAGACAATTAGTTGTAAACCCATTCGAACACATATACCAGCATTTTTAGTTATTGATTATGTTTGTAAAAAATATGAATGAACAAAAATATAAAGTATACACTGTTTTCCATTATACATTGATTACTTACTTCATCAATATACAATTATTGACTATTTTGTATTATTATTTCAGGAGAATGTCCAAACTCGCCGAATAATCTCACAAAATCGGAAAAAAACATTTGGCGACTTTTTAAACAGGTATATTCGAATGACTGTTTGAAAAAGCAAAACATCAAGATCAAACAAATGAAATGAACAATTATTCTACCTAATATAACAGCGCTGTTGAGTGTGGTTAAATTTTGTTGAAAATATTAAGTAAAAAAAAGTACGCACGTAAAACAATTTTATCCATAGGCAATTTCTAATAAAAGAACGTTTTTGTATTTCAAGGAGAGTCTTTAAAAAGTCGAAACTAGTGACAAAGTTTGGAGAAAAAAAAAATCAGCGCTTTTATGAAAGATGCTTTCAATGAATATAACAATAGTAACTTCATAATTCAGACAATTAGTTGTTAACCAATTTGAACACATATGTCTGCATTCTTAGTTATTGATTATTTTTGTCAAAAATATGATTGAACAAAAATATATAGTATACACTGTTTTCCATTATACATTGATTACTTACTTCATCAATATACAATTATTGACTATTTTGTATTATTAATTTCAGGAGTATTTTCAAACTCGTCGAATAATCACACAAAATCAGAAGCAAAAATTTTGGCGACTTTTTAAACAGGTATATTCGAATGACTGTTAGGAAAAATGCAAAACATCAAGAATAAGCTAATCAACTGTACAATTATTCTAGCTAATATAACGGCGCTGTTGAGTGTGGTTTAATTTTGTTAAAAAATATTGACTCAAAAAAAGTACGCACGTAAAACAATCTTATCCATAAGCAAATTGCTAATACAAGAACGTTTTTGTATTTCAAGGAGAGTCTTTAAAAAGTCGAAACTAGTGACAAAGTTTGCAGAAAAATAAATCAACGCTTTTATGAAAAGATGATTTCAATGAACATAACAATGGTAACTTCATATTTCAGACAATTATTTGTTAACCCATTCGAACACACATATGTCTGCATTTTTAGTTACTAATTATGTTTGTAAAAAATATGAATGAACAAAAATATAAAGTATACATTGTTTTCCATTATACATTGATTACTTACTTCATCAATATACAATTATTGACTATTTTGTATCATTAATTTCAGGAGAATTTTCAAACTCGTCGAATAATCACACAAAATCAGAAGCAAAAACGTTGGCGACTTTTCAACAGGTATATTCTAATGACTGTTAGGAAAAATGCAAAACATTAAGATCAAGCTAATCAACTGTACAATTATTCTACCTAATATAACGGCGCTGTTGAGTGTGGTTTACTTTTGTTAAAAATATTTACTCAAAAAAAGTACGCACGTAAAACAATCTTATCCATAACAAACTGCTAATAAAAGAACGTTTTTGTATTTCAAGGAGAGTCTTTAAATAGTCGAAACTAGTGACAAAGTTTGCAGAAAAAAACAGCGCTTTTATGGAAAGATGCTTTCAATGAACATAACAATGGTATCTTTATATTTCAGACAATTATTTGTTAACCCATTCGAACACATATATATATGCATTCTTAGTTATTGATTATTTTTGTAAAAAATCTGAATGAACAAAAATATATAGTATACACTGTTTTCCATTATACATTGATTACTTACTTCATCAATATACAATTATTGACTATTTTGTATTAATTTCAGGAGAATGTTTAAACTCGTCGAATAATAACACAAAATCAGAAGCAAACATTTGGGCGACTTTTTAAACAGGTATATTCGAATGACTGTTAGGAAAAATGCAAAACATCAAGAATAAGCTAATCAACTGTACAATTATTCTAGCTAATATAACGGCGCTGTTGAGTGTGGTTTAATTTTGTTAAAAAATATTGACTCCAAAAAAGTACGCACGTAAAACAATCTTATCCATAAGCAATTGCTAATAAAAGAACGTTTTTGTATTTCAAGGAGTGTCTTTAAAAAGTCGAAACTAGTGACAAAGTTTGCAGAAAAATAAATCAACGCTTTTATTAAAAGATGCTTTCAATGAACATATCAATGGTAACTTCATATTTCAGACAATTAGTTGTAAACCCATTCGAACACATATACCAGCATTTTTAGTTATTGATTATGTTTGTAAAAAATATGAATGAACAAAAATATATAGTATACACTGTTTTCCATTATACATTGATTACTTACTTCATCAATATACAATTATTGACTATTTTGTATTATTATTTCAGGAGAATGTCCAAACTCGCCGAATAATCTCACAAAATCGGAAAAAAACATTTGGCGACTTTTTAAACAGGTATATTCGAATGACTGTTTGAAAAAGCAAAACATCAAGATCAAACAAATGAAATGAACAATTATTCTACCTAATATAACAGCGCTGTTGAGTGTGGTTAAATTTTGTTAAAAATATTAAGTCAAAAAACGTACGCACGTAAAACAATTTTATCCATAGGCAATTTCTAATAAAAGAACGTTTTTGTATTTCAAGGAGAGTCTTTAAAAAGTCGAAACTAGTGACAAAGTTTGGAGAAAAAAAAAATCAGCGCTTTTATGAAAGATGCTTTCAATGAATATAACAATAGTAACTTCATAATTCAGACAATTAGTTGTTAACCAATTTGAACACATATGTCTGCATTCTTAGTTATTGATTATTTTTGTCAAAAATATGATTGAACAAAAATATATAGTATACACTGTTTTCCATTATACATTGATTACTTACTTCATCAATATACAATTATTGACTATTTTGTATTATTGATTTCAGGAGTATTTTCAAACTCGTCGAATAATCACACAAAATTAGAAGCAAAAATTTTGGCGACTTTTTAAACAGGTATATTCGAATGACTGTTAGGAAAAATGCAAAACATCAAGAATAAGCTAATCAACTGTACAATTATTCTAGCTAATATAACGGCGCTGTTGAGTGTGGTTTAATTTTGTTAAAAAATATTGACTCAAAAAAAGTACGCACGTAAAACAATCTTATCCATAAGCAAATTGCTAATACAAGAACGTTTTTGTATTTCAAGGAGAGTCTTTAAAAAGTCGAAACTAGTGACAAAGTTTGCAGAAAAATAAATCAACGCTTTTATGAAAAGATGCTTTCAATGAACATAACAATGGTAACTTCATATTTCAGACAATTATTTGTTAACCCATTCGAACACACATATGTCTGCATTTTTAGTTACTAATTATGTTTGTAAAAAATATGAATGAACAAAAATATAAAGTGTACATTGTTTTCTATTATACATTGATTACTTACTTCATCAATATACAATTATTGACTATTTTGTATCATTAATTTCAGGAGTATTTTCAAACTCGTCGAATAATCACACAAAATCAGAAGCAAAAACGTTGGCGACTTTTCAACAGGTATATTCTAATGACTGTTAGGAAAAATGCAAAACATTAAGATCAAGCTAATCAACTGTACAATTATTCTACCTAATATAACGGCGCTGTTGAGTGTGGTTTACTTTTGTTAAAAATATTTACTCAAAAAAAGTACGCACGTAAAACAATCTTATCCATAACAAACTGCTAATAAAAGAACGTTTTTGTATTTCAAGGAGAGTCTTTAAATAGTCGAAACTAGTGACAAAGTTTGCAGAAAAAAACAGCGCTTTTATGGAAAGATGCTTTCAATGAACATAACAATGGTATCTTTATATTTCAGACAATTATTTGTTAACCCATTCGAACACATATATATATGCATTCTTAGTTATTGATTATTTTTGTAAAAAATCTGAATGAACAAAAATATATAGTATACACTGTTTTCCATTATACATTGATTACTTACTTCATCAATATACAATTATTGACTATTTTGTATTAATTTCAGGAGAATGTTTAAACTCGTCGAATAATAACACAAAATCAGAAGCAAACATTTTGGCGACTTTTTAAACAGGTATATTCGAATGACTGTTAGGAAAAATGCAAAACATCAAGAATAAGCTAATCAACTGTACAATTATTCTAGCTAATATAACGGCGCTGTTGAGTGTGGTTTAATTTTGTTAAAAAATATTGACTCCAAAAAAGTACGCACGTAAAACAATCTTATCCATAAGCAATTGCTAATAAAAGAACATTTTTGTATTTCAAGGAGTGTCTTTAAAAAGTCGAAACTAGTGACAAAGTTTGCAGAAAAATAAATCAACGCTTTTATTAAAAGATGCTTTCAATGAACATATCAATGGTAACTTCATATTTCAGACAATTAGTTGTAAACCCATTCGAACACATATACCAGCATTTTTAGTTATTGATTATGTTTGTAAAAAATATGAATGAACAAAAATATATAGTATACACTGTTTTTCATTATACATTGATTACTTACTTCATCAATATACAATTATTGACTATTTTGTATTATTATTTCAGGAGAATGTCCAAACTCGCCGAATAATCTCACAAAATCGGAAAAAAACATTTGGCGACTTTTAAAACAGGTATATTCGAATGACTGTTTGAAAAAGCAAAACATCAAGATAAAACAAATGGAATGAACAATTATTCTACCTAATATAATAGCGCTGTTGAGTGTGGTTAAATTTTGTTAAAAATATTAAGTCAAAAAAAGTACTCACGTAAAACAATTTTATCCATAGGCAATTTCTAATAAAAGAACGTTTTTGTATTTCAAGGAGAGTCTTTAAAAAGTCGAAACTAGTGACAAAGTTTTGAGAAGAAAAAAAATCAGCGCTTTTATGAAAGATGCTTTCAATGAATATAACAATAGTAACTTCATAATTCAGACAATTAGTTGTTAACCAATTTGAACACATATGTCTGCATTCTTAGTTATTGATTATTTTTGTCAAAAATATGATTGAACAAAAATATATAGTATACACTGTTTTCCATTATACATTGATTACTTACTTCATCAATATACAATTATTGACTATTTTGTATCATTAATTTCAGGAGTATTTTCAAACTCGTCGAATAATCACACAAAATCAGAAGCAAAAATTTTGGCGACTTTTTAAACAGGTATATTCGAATGACTGTTAGGAAAAATGCAAAACATCAAGAATAAGCTAATCAACTGTACAATTATTCTAGCTAATATAACGGCGCTGTTGAGTGTGGTTTAATTTTGTTAAAACATTTTGACTCAAAAAAAGTACGCACGTAAAACAATCTTATCCATAAGAAAATTGCTAATACAAGAACGTTTTTGTATTTCAAGGAGTCTTTAAAAAGTCGAAACTAGTGACAAAGTTTGCAGAAAAATAAATCAACGCTTTTATGAAAAGATGCTTTCAATGAACATAACAATGGTAACTTCATATTTCAGACAATTATTTGTTAACCCATTCGAACACACATATGTCTGCATTTTTAGTTACTAATTATGTTTGTAAAAAATATGAATGAACAAAAATATAAAGTATACATTGTTTTCCATTATACATTGATTACTTACTTCATCAATATACAATTATTGACTATTTTGTATCATTAATTTCAGGAGAATTTTCAAACTCGTCGAATAATCACACAAAATCAGAAGCAAAAACGTTGGCGACTTTTCAACAGGTATATTCTAATGACTGTTAGGAAAAATGCAAAACATTAAGATCAAGCTAATCAACTGTACAATTATTCTACCTAATATAACGGCGCTGTTGAGTGTGGTTTACTTTTGTTAAAAATATTTACTCAAAAAAAGTACGCACGTAAAACAATCTTATCCATAACAAACTGCTAATAAAAGAACGTTTTTGTATTTCAAGGAGAGTCTTTAAATAGTCGAAACCAGTGACAAAGTTTGCAGAAAAAAACAGCGCTTTTATGGAAAGATGCTTTCAATGAACATAACAATGGTATCTTCATATTTCAGACAATTATTTGTTAACCCATTCGAACACATATATATATGCATTCTTAGTTATTGATTATTTTTGTAAAAAATCTGAATGAACAAAAATATATAGTATACACTGTTTTCCATTATACATTGATTACTTACTTCATCAATATACAATTATTGACTATTTTGTATTAATTTCAGGAGAATGTTTAAACTCGTCGAATAATAACACAAAATCAGAAGCAAACATTTGGGCGACTTTTTAAACAGGTATATTCGAATGACTGTTAGGAAAAATGCAAAGATTAAGATCAAGCTAATCAACTGTACAATTATTCTACCTAATATAACGGCGCTGTTGAGTGTGGTTTAATTTTGTTAAAAATATTGACTCCAAAAAAATACGCACGTAAAACAATCTTATCCATAAGCAACTGCTAATAAAAGAACGTTTTTGTATTTGAAGGAGAGTCTTTAAATATTCGAAACTAGTGACAAATTTTACAGAAAAAAAACAGCGCTTTTATGGAAAGATGCTTTCAATGAACATAACAATGGTATCTTCATATTTCAGACAATTATTTGTTAACCCATTCGAACACATATATATCTGCATTCTTAGTTATTGATTATTTTTGTAAAAAATCTGAATGAACAAAAATATATAGGATACACTGTTTTCCATTATACATTGATTACTTACTTCATCAATATACAATTATTGACTATTTTGTATTGTTAATTTCCAAAGAATGTTCAGTGTGGTTTAATTTTGTTAAAAATATTGACTCCAAAAAAATACGAACGTAAAACAATCTTATCCATAAGCAATTGCTAATAAAAGAACGTTTTTGTATTTCAAGGAGAGTCTTTAAAAAGTCGAAACTAGTGACAAAGTTTGCAGAAAAATAAATCAACGCTTTTATGAAAGGATGCTTTCAATGAACATAACAATGGTAACTTCATATTTCAGACAATTAGATGAAAACCCATTCGAACACACATACCTGCATTTTTAGTTACTAATTATGTTTGTAAAAAATATGAATGAACAAAAATATATAGTATACATTGTTTTCCATTATACATTGATTACTTACTTCATCAATATACAATTATTGACTATTTTGTATTATTAATTTCAGGAGAGTTTTCAAACTCGTCGAATAATCACACAAAATCAGAAGCAAAAACGTTGGCGACTTTTCAACAGGTATATTCTAATGACTGTTAGGAAAAATGCAAAACATCAAGATCCAGCTAATCAACTGTACAATTATTCTACCTAATATAACGGCGCTGTTGAGTGTGGTTTACTTTTGTTAAAAATATTGACTCCAAAAAAGTACGCACGTAAAACAATCTTATCCATAAGCAATTGCTAATAAAAGAACGTTTTTGTATTTCAAGGAGAGTCTTTAAAAAGTCGAAACTAGTGACAAAGTTTGGAGAAAAAAAAAATCAGCGCTTTTATGAAAGATGCTTTCAATGAATATAACAATAGTAACTTCATAATTCAGACAATTAGTTGTTAACCAATTTGAACACATATGTCTGCATTCTTAGTTATTGATTATTTTTGTCAAAAATATGATTGAACAAAAATATATAGTATACACTGTTTTCCATTATACATTGATTACTTACTTCATCAATATACAATTATTGACTATTTTGTATTATTAATTTCAGGAGTATTTTCAAACTCGTCGAATAATCACACAAAATCAGAAGCAAAAATTTTGGCGACTTTTTAAACAGGTATATTCGAATGACTGTTAGGAAAAATGCAAAACATCAAGAATAAGCTAATCAACTGTACAATTATTCTAGCTAATATAACGGCGCTGTTGAGTGTGGTTTAATTTTGTTAAAAAATATTGACTCAAAAAAAGTACGCACGTAAAACAATCTTATCCATAAGCAAATTGCTAATACAAGAACGTTTTTGTATTTCAAGGAGAGTCTTTAAAAAGTCGAAACTAGTGACAAAGTTTGCAGAAAAATAAATCAACGCTTTTATGAAAAGATGCTTTCAATGAACATAACAATGGTAACTTCATATTTCAGACAATTATTTGTTAACCCATTCGAACACACATATGTCTGCATTTTTAGTTACTAATTATGTTTGTAAAAAATATGAATGAACAAAAATATAAAGTGTACATTGTTTTCTATTATACATTGATTACTTACTTCATCAATATACAATTATTGACTATTTTGTATCATTAATTTCAGGAGTATTTTCAAACTCGTCGAATAATCACACAAAATCAGAAGCAAAAACGTTGGCGACTTTTCAACAGGTATATTCTAATGACTGTTAGGAAAAATGCAAAACATTAAGATCAAGCTAATCAACTGTACAATTATTCTACCTAATATAACGGCGCTGTTGAGTGTGGTTTACTTTTGTTAAAAATATTTACTCAAAAAAAGTACGCACGTAAAACAATCTTATCCATAACAAACTGCTAATAAAAGAACGTTTTTGTATTTCAAGGAGAGTCTTTAAATAGTCGAAACTAGTGACAAAGTTTGCAGAAAAAAACAGCGCTTTTATGGAAAGATGCTTTCAATGAACATAACAATGGTATCTTCATATTTCAGACAATTATTTGTTAACCCATTCGAACACATATATATATGCATTCTTAGTTATTGATTATTTTTGTAAAAAATCTGAATGAACAAAAATATATAGTATACACTGTTTTCCATTATACATTGATTACTTACTTCATCAATATACAATTATTGACTATTTTGTATTAATTTCAGGAGAATGTTTAAACTCGTCGAATAATAACACAAAATCAGAAGCAAACATTTGGGCGACTTTTTAAACAGGTATATTCGAATGACTGTTAGGAAAAATGCAAAACATCAAGAATAAGCTAATCAACTGTACAACTATTCTAGCTAATATAACGGCGCTGTTGAGTGTGGTTTAATTTTGTTAAAAAATATTGACTCCAAAAAAGTACGCACGTAAAACAATCTTATCCATAAGCAATTGCTAATAAAAGAACGTTTTTGTATTTCAAGGAGTGTCTTTAAAAAGTCGAAACTAGTGACAAAGTTTGCAGAAAAATAAATCAACGCTTTTATTAAAAGATGCTTTCAATGAACATATCAATAGTAACTTCATATTTCAGACAATTAGTTGTAAACCCATTCGAACACATATACCAGCATTTTTAGTTATTGATTATGTTTGTAAAAAATATGAATGAACAAAAATATATTGTATACACTGTTTTCCATTATACATTGATTACTTACTTCATCAATATACAATTATTGACTATTTTGTATTATTATTTCAGGAGAATGTCCAAACTCGACGAATAATCTCACAAAATCGGAAAAAAACATTTGGCGACTTTTTAAACAGGTATATTCGAATGACTGTTTGAAAAAGCAAAACATCAAGATCAAACAAATGAAATGAACAATTATTCTACCTAATATAACAGCGCTGTTGAGTGTGGTTAAATTTTGTTAAAAATATTAAGTCAAAAAAAGTACGCACGTAAAACAATTTTATCCATAGGCAATTTCTAATAAAAGAACGTTTTTGTATTTCAAGGAGAGTCTTTAAAAAGTCGAAACTAGTGACAAAGTTTGGAGAAAAAAAAAATCAGCGCTTTTATGAAAGATGCTTTCAATGAATATAACAATAGTAACTTCATAATTCAGACAATTAGTTGTTAACCAATTTGAACACATATGTCTGCATTCTTAGTTATTGATTATTTTTGTCAAAAATATGATTGAACAAAAATATATAGTATACACTGTTTTCCATTATACATTGATTACTTACTTCATCAATATACAATTATTGACTATTTTGTATTATTAATTTCAGGAGTATTTTCAAACTCGTCGAATAATCACACAAAATCAGAAGCAAAAATTTTGGCGACTTTTTAAACAGGTATATTCGAATGACTGTTAGGAAAAATGCAAAACATCAAGAATAAGCTAATCAACTGTACAATTATTCTAGCTAATATAACGGCGCTGTTGAGTGTGGTTTAATTTTGTTAAAAAATATTGACTCAAAAAAAGTACGCACGTAAAACAATCTTATCCATAAGCAAATTGCTAATACAAGAACGTTTTTGTATTTCAAGGAGAGTCTTTAAAAAGTCGAAACTAGTGACAAAGTTTGCAGAAAAATAAATCAACGCTTTTATGAAAAGATGCTTTCAATGAACATAACAATGGTAACTTCATATTTCAGACAATTATTTGTTAACCCATTCGAACACACATATGTCTGCATTTTTAGTTACTAATTATGTTTGTAAAAAATATGAATGAACAAAAATATAAAGTATACATTGTTTTCCATTATACATTGATTACTTACTTCATCAATATACAATTATTGACTATTTTGTATCATTAATTTCAGGAGAATTTTCAAACTCGTCGAATAATCACACAAAATCAGAAGCAAAAACGTTGGCGACTTTTCAACAGGTATATTCTAATGACTGTTAGGAAAAATGCAAAACATTAAGATCAAGCTAATCAACTGTACAATTATTCTACCTAATATAACGGCGCTGTTGAGTGTGGTTTACTTTTGTTAAAAATATTTACTCAAAAAAAGTACGCACGTAAACCATTTTATCCATAACAAACTGCTAATAATAGAACGTTTTTGTATTTCAAGGAGAGTCTTTAAATAGTCGAAACTAGTGACAAAGTTTGCAGAAAAAAACAGCGCTTTTATGGAAAGATGCTTTCAATGAACATAACAATGGTATCTTTATATTTCAGACAATTATTTGTTAACCCATTCGAACACATATATATATGCATTCTTAGTTATTGATTATTTTTGTAAAAAATCTGAATGAACAAAAATATATAGTATACACTGTTTTCCATTATACATTGATTACTTACTTCATCAATATACAATTATTGACTATTTTGTATTAATTTCAGGAGAATGTTTAAACTCGTCGAATAATAACACAAAATCAGAAGCAAACATTTGGGCGACTTTTTAAACAGGTATATTCGAATGACTGTTAGGAAAAATGCAAAACATCAAGAATAAGCTAATCAACTGTACAATTATTCTAGCTAATATAACGGCGCTGTTGAGTGTGGTTTAATTTTGTTAAAAAATATTGACTCCAAAAAAGTACGCACGTAAAACAATCTTATCCATAAGCAATTGCTAATAAAAGAACATTTTTGTATTTCAAGGAGTGTCTTTAAAAAGTCGAAACTAGTGACAAAGTTTGCAGAAAAATAAATCAACGCTTTTATTAAAAGATGCTTTCAATGAACATATCAATGGTAACTTCATATTTCAGACAATTAGTTGTAAACCCATTCGAACACATATACCAGCATTTTTAGTTATTGATTATGTTTGTAAAAAATATGAATGAACAAAAATATATAGTATACACTGTTTTTCATTATACATTGATTACTTACTTCATCAATATACAATTATTGACTATTTTGTATTATTATTTCAGGAGAATGTCCAAACTCGACGAATAATCTCACAAAATCGGAAAAAAACATTTGGCGACTTTTAAAACAGGTATATTCGAATGACTGATTGAAAAAGCAAAACATCAAGATCAAACAAATGGAATGAACAATTATTCTACCTAATATAACAGCGCTGTTGAGTGTGGTTAAATTTTGTTAAAAATATTAAGTCAAAAAAAGTACTCACGTAAAACAATTTTATCCATAGGCAATTTCTAATAAAAGAACGTTTTTGTATTTCAAGGAGAGTCTTTAAAAAGTCGAAACTAGTGACAAAGTTTTGAGAAAAAAAAAATCAGCGCTTTTATGAAAGATGCTTTCAATGAATATAACAATAGTAACTTCATAATTCAGACAATTAGTTGTTAACCAATTTGAACACATATGTCTGCATTCTTAGTTATTGATTATTTTTGTCAAAAATATGATTGAACAAAAATATATAGTATACACTGTTTTCCATTATAAATTGATTACTTACTTCATCAATATACAATTATTGACTATTTTGTATTATTAATTTCAGGAGTATTTTCAAACTCGTCGAATAATCACACAAAATCAGAAGCAAAAATTTTGGCGACTTTTTAAACAGGTTATTCGAATGACTGTTAGGAAAAATGCAAAACATCAAGAATAAGCTAATCAACTGTACAATTATTCTAGCTAATATAACGGCGCTGTTGAGTGTGGTTTAATTTTGTTAAAACATTTTGACTCAAAAAAAGTACGCACGTAAAACAATCTTATCCATAAGAAAATTGCTAATACAAGAACGTTTTTGTATTTCAAGGAGTCTTTAAAAAGTCGAAACTAGTGACAAAGTTTGCAGAAAAATAAATCAACGCTTTTATGAAAAGATGCTTTCAATGAACATAACAATGGTAACTTCATATTTCAGACAATTATTTGTTAACCCATTCGAACACACATATGTCTGCATTTTTAGTTACTAATTATGTTTGTAAAAAATATGAATGAACAAAAATATAAAGTATACATTGTTTTCCATTATACATTGATTACTTACTTCATCAATATACAATTATTGACTATTTTGTATCATTAATTTCAGGAGAATTTTCAAACTCGTCGAATAATCACACAAAATCAGAAGCAAAAACGTTGGCGACTTTTCAACAGGTATATTCTAATGACTGTTAGGAAAAATGCAAAACATTAAGATCAAGCTAATCAACTGTACAATTATTCTACCTAATATAACGGCGCTGTTGAGTGTGGTTTACTTTTGTTAAAAATATTTACTCAAAAAAAGTACGCACGTAAAACAATCTTATCCATAACAAACTGCTAATAAAAGAACGTTTTTGTATTTCAAGGAGAGTCTTTAAATAGTCGAAACCAGTGACAAAGTTTGCAGAAAAAAACAGCGCTTTTATGGAAAGATGCTTTCAATGAACATAACAATGGTATCTTCATATTTCAGACAATTATTTGTTAACCCATTCGAACACATATATATATGCATTCTTAGTTATTGATTATTTTTGTAAAAAATCTGAATGAACAAAAATATATAGTATACACTGTTTTCCATTATACATTGATTACTTACTTCATCAATATACAATTATTGACTATTTTGTATTAATTTCAGGAGAATGTTTAAACTCGTCGAATAATAACACAAAATCAGAAGCAAACATTTGGGCGACTTTTTAAACAGGAATATTCGAATGACTGTTAGGAAAAATGCAAAGATTAAGATCAAGCTAATCAACTGTACAATTATTCTACCTAATATAACGCCGCTGTTGAGTGTGGTTTAATTTTGTTAAAAATATTGACTCCAAAAAAATACGCACGTAAAACAATCTTATCCATAAGCAACTGCTAATAAAAGAACGTTTTTGTATTTGAAGGAGAGTCTTTAAATATTCGAAACTAGTGACAAAGTTTACAGAAAAAAAATAGCGCTTTTATGGAAAGATGCTTTCAATGAACATAACAATGGTATCTTCATATTTCAGACAATTATTTGTTAACCCATTCGAACACATATATATCTGCATTCTTAGTTATTGATTATTTTTGTAAAAAATCTGAATGAACAAAAATATATAGGATACACTGTTTTCCATTATACATTGATTACTTACTTCATCAATATACAATTATTGACTATTTTGTATTGTTAATTTCCAAAGAATGTTCAGTGTGGTTTAATTTTGTTAAAAATATTGACTCCAAAAAAATACGAACGTAAAACAATCTTATCCATAAGCAATTGCTAATAAAAGAACGTTTTTGTATTTCAAGGAGAGTCTTTAAAAAGTCGAAACTAGTGACAAAGTTTGCAGAAAAATAAATCAACGCTTTTATGAAAGGATGCTTTCAATGAACATAACAATGGTAACTTCATATTTCAGACAATTAGATGAAAACCCATTCGAACACACATACCTGCATTTTTAGTTACTAATTATGTTTGTAAAAAATATGAATGAACAAAAATATATAGTATACATTGTTTTCCATTATACATTGATTACTTACTTCATCAATATACAATTATTGACTATTTTGTATTATTAATTTCAGGAGAGTTTTCAAACTCGTCGAATAATAACACAAAATCAGAAGCAAAAACGTTGGCGACTTTTCAACAGGTATATTCTAATGACTGTTAGGAAAAATGCAAAACATCAAGATCCAGCTAATCAACTGTACAATTATTCTACCTAATATAACGGCGCTGTTGAGTGTGGTTTACTTTTGTTAAAAATATTGACTCCAAAAAAGTACGCACGTAAAACAATCTTATCCATAAGCAACTGCTAATAAAAGAACGTTTTTGTATTTGAAGGAGAGTCTTTAAATATTCGAAACTAGTGACAAAGTTTACAGAAAAAAAACAGCGCTTTTATGGAAAGATGCTTTCAATGAACATAACAATGGTAACTTCATATTTCAGACAATTATTTGTTAACCCATTCGAACACATATATATCTGCATTCTTAGTTATTGATTAATTTTGTAAAAAATATGAATGAACAAAAATATATAGTATACACTGTTTTCCATTATACATTGATTACTTACTTCACCAATATACAATTATTGACTATTTTGTATTATTAATTTCAGGAGAATTTTCAAACTCGACGAATAATCACACAAAATCAAAAGCAAAAATTTCGGCAACTTTTTAAACAGGTACATTTGAATGACTGTGAGGAAAAATGCAAAGCATCAAGATCAAGCTTAACAACTGTACAATTATTCTACCTAATATAACGGCGCTGTTGAGTGTGGTTTACTTTTGTTAAAAATATTGACTCAAAAAAAGTACGCACGTAAAACAATCTTATCCATAAGCAACTGCTAATAAAAGAACGTTTTTGTATTTCAAGAATAGTCTTTAAATAGTCGAAACCAGTGACAAAGTTTGCAGAAAAAAACAGCGCTTTTATGGAAAGATGCTTTCAATGAACATAACAATGGTATCTCCATATTTCAGACAAGTATTTGTTAACCCATTCGAACACATATATATCTGCATTCTTAGTTATTGATTATTTTTGTAAAAAATCTGAATGAACAAAAATATATAGTATACACTGTTTTCCATTATACATTGATTACTTACTTCATCAATATACAATTATTGAATATTTTGAATTATAAATTTCAGGAGAATGTTCAAACTCGCCGAATAATCTCACAAAATCGGAAGAAAACATTTGGCGACTTTTTAAACAGGTATATTCGAATGACTGTTTGCAAAAGGCAAAACATCAAGATCAAGCTAATGAAATGTACAATTATTCTAGCTAATATAACGGCGCTGTTGAGTGTGGTTAAATTTTGATAAAAATATTGACTCAAAAAAAGTACGCACTTAAAACAATCTTATTCATATGCAATTGCGAATAAAAGAACGTTTTTGTTTTGCAAGAAGAGTCTTTAAAATGTCGGAACTAGTGACAAAGTTTGCAGAAAAAATCAATCAGCCCTTTTATATATATGAAAAGATGTTTTCAATGAACATAACAATGGTAACTTCATATTTCAGACAATTAGTTATAAACCTATTCGAACACATATATCCTCATTCTTAAATACTGATTTTTTTTGTAAAAAATATGAATGAACAAAAATATATAGTATACATTGTTTTCCATTATAGATTGATTACTTACTTCATCGATATATGCAAAACATCAAGAATAAGCTAATCAACTGTACAATTATTCTATCTAATATAACGGCGCTGTTGAGTGTGGTTTAATTGTGTTAAAAATGTTGACTCAAAAAAAAAGTAGGCACGTAAAACAATCTTACTCATAAGCAATTGCGAATAAAAAAACGCTTTTCTATTGGAAGGAGAGTATTTAAAAAGTCGGAACTAGTGACAAAGTTTACAGAAAAATAAATCAGCCCTTTTATGAAAAGATGTTTTCAATGAACAAAACAATGGTAACTTCATATTTCAGACAATTAGTTGTAAACCCATTCGAAAACACATATCTACATTCTTAGTTACTAATTATTTTCGTAAAAAATCTGAATAAACAAAAATTTATAGTGTACATTGTTTTCCATTATACATTGATTACATCATTCATCAATATACGATTATTGACTATTTGGTATTATTAATTTCAGGAGAATTATCAAACTCGTCGAATAATCACACAAAATCAGAAGCAAACATTTTGGCGACTTTTTAAACAGGTATATTCGAATGACTGTTAGGAAAAAGCAAAACATAAAGAATAAGCTAATCAACTGTACAATTATTCTACCTAATATAACGGCTCTGTTGAGTGTGGTTTAATTTTATTAAAAATATTGACTCCAAAAAAAAATACGCACGTGGAACAATCTTATCCATAAGCAATTGCTAATAAAAGAACGTTTTTGTATTTCAAGGAGAGTCTTTAAAAAGTCGAAACTAGTGACAAAGTTTGCAGAAAAATAAATCAACGCTTTTATGAAAAGATACTTTAAATGAACATAACAATGATAACTTCATATTTCAGACAATTAGACGTAAACCCATTCGAACACACATACCTGCATTTTTAGTTACTAATTATGTTTGTAAAAATATGAATGCACAAAAATATATAGTATACATTGTTATCCATTATACATTGATTACTTACTTCATCAATATACAATTATTGACTATTTTGTATTATTAACTTCAGGAGAATTTTCAAACTCGTCGAATAATCTCACCAAATGGGAAGAAACAGTTTGGCGACTTTTTAAACAGGTATATTCGAATGACTGTTAGGAAAAAAGCAAAACATCAAGATCAAGCTAATCAACTGTACAGTTATTCTACCTAATATAACGGCGCTGTTGAGTGTGGTTTACTTTTGTTAAAAATATTGACTCAAAAAAAGTACGCACGTAAAACAATCTTATCCATAAGCAATTGCTAATAAAAGAACGTTTTTGTATTTCAAGGAGTGTCTTTAAAAAGTCGAAACTAGTGACAAAGTTTGCAGAAAAATAAATCAACGCTTTTATTAAAAGATGCTTTCAATGAACATATCAATGGTAACTTCATATTTCAGACAATTAGTTGTAAACCCATTCGAACACATATACCAGCATTTTTAGTTATTGATTATGTTTGTAAAAAATATGAATGAACAAAAATATATAGTATATACTGTTTTCCATTATACATTGATTACTTACTTCATCAATATACAATTATTGACTATTTTGTATTATTATTTCAGGAGAATGTCCAAACTCGCCGAATAATCTCACAAAATCGGAAGAAAACATTTGGCGACTTTTTAAACAGGTATATTCGAATGACTGTTTGAAAAAGCAAAACATCAAGATCAAACAAATGAAATGAACAATTATTCTACCTAATATAACAGCGCTGTTGAGTGTGGTTAAATTTTGTTAAAAATATTAAGTCAAAAAAATTACGCACGTAAAACAATTTTATCCATAGGCAATTTCTAATAAAAGAACGTTTTTGTATTTCAAGGAGAGTCTTTAAAAAGTCGAAACTAGTGACAAAGTTTGGAGAAAACAAAAATCAGCGCTTTTATGAAAGATGCTTTCAATGAATATGACAATAGTAACTTCATAATTCAGACAATTAGTTGTTAACCAATTTAAACACATATGTCTGCATTCTTAGTTATTGATTATTTTTGTCAAAAATATGATTGAACAAAAATATAGAGTATACACTGTTTTCCATTATACATTGATTACTTACTTCATCAATATACAATTATTGACTATTTTGTATTATTAATTTCAGGAGTATTTTCAAACTCGTCGAATAATCACACAAAATCAGAAGCAAAAATTTTGGCGACTTTTTAAACAGGTTATTCGAATGACTGTTAGGAAAAATGCAAAACATCAAGAATAAGCTAATCAACTGTACAATTATTCTAGCTAATATAACGGCGCTGTTGAGTGTGGTTTAATTTTGGTAAAAAATATTGACTCCAAAAAAGTATGCACGTAAAACAATCTTATCCATAAGCAAATTGCTAATACAAGAACGTTTTTGTATTTCAAGGAGAGTCTTTAAAAAGTCGAAACTAGTGACAAAGTTTGCAGAAAAATAAATAAACGCTTTTATGAAAAGATGCTTTCAATGAACATAACAATGGTAACTTCATATTTCAGACAATTATTTGTTAACCCATTCGAACACACATATGTCTGCATTTTTAGTTACTAATTATGTTTGTAAAAAATATGAATGAACAAAAATATAAAGTATACATTGTTTTCCATTATACATTGATTACTTACTTCATCAATATACAATTATTGACTATTTTGTATCATTAATTTCAGGAGAATTTTCAAACTCGTCGAATAATCACACAAAATCAGAAGCAAAAACGTTGGCGACTTTTCAACAGGTATATTCTAATGACTGTTAGGAAAAATGCAAAACATTAAGATCAAGCTAATCAACTGTACAATTATTCTACCTAATATAACGGCGCTGTTGAGTGTGGTTTACTTTTGTTAAAAATATTTACTCAAAAAAAGTACGCACGTAAAACAATCTTATCCATAACAAACTGCTAATAAAAGAACGTTTTTGTATTTCAAGGAGAGTCTTTAAATAGTCGAAACTAGTGACAAAGTTTGCAGAAAAAAACAGCGCTTTTATGGAAAGATGCTTTCAATGAACATAACAATGGTATCTTCATATTTCAGACAATTATTTGTTAACTCATTCGAACACATATATATATATGCATTCTTCGTTATTGATTATTTTTGTAAAAAATCTGAATGAACAAAAATATATAGTATACACTGTTTTCCATTATACATTGATTACTTACTTCATCAATATACAATTATTGACTATTTTGTATTAATTTCAGGAGAATGTTTAAACTCGTCGAATAATAACACAAAATCAGAAGCAAACATTTGGGCGACTTTTTAAACAGGTATATTCGAATGACTGTTTGGAAAAATGCAAAACATCAAGAATAAGCCTATCAACTGTACAATTATTCTACCTAATATAACGGCGCTGTTGAGTGTGGTTTAATTTTTATTAAAAATATTGACTCCAAAAAAGTACGCACGTAAAACAATCTTATCCATAAGTAATTGCGAATAAAAGAACATTTTTGTATTGCAAGGACAGTCTTTAAAATACCGAAATTAGTGACAAAGTTTGCAAAAAAATACATCAGCCCTTTTATGAAAAGATGCTTTCAATGAACATAACAATGGTAACTTCATATTTCAAAAAATTAGTTGTAAACCCATTCGAACACATATACCAGCATTTTTAGTTATTGATTATGTTTGTAAAAAATATGAATGAACAAAAATATATAGTATACACTGTTTACCATCATACATTGATTACTTACTTCATCAATATACAATTATTGACTATTTTGTATTATTAATTTCAGGAGAATTATCAAATTCGTCGAATAATCACACAAAATCAGAAGCAAAAATTTTGGCGACTTTTTAAACAGGTATATTTGAATGACTGTTAGGAAAAATGCAAAACATCCAGAATAAGCTAATCAACTGTATAATTATTCTACCTAATATAACGGCGCTGTTGAGTGTGGTTTAATTTTGTTAAAAATATTGACTCCAAAAAAATACGCACGTAAAACAATCTTATCCATAAGCAATTGCTAATAAAAGAACGTTTTTGTATATCAAGGAGAGTCTTTAAAAAGTCGAAACTAGTGACAAAGTTTGCAGAAAAATAAATCAACGCTTTTATGAAAAGATGCTTTCAATGAACATAACAATGGTAACTTCATATTTCAGACATTTAGATGAAAACCCATTCGAACACACATACCTGCATTTTTAGTTACTAATTATGTTTGTAAAAAATATGAATGAACAAAAATATATAGTATACATTGTTTTCCATTATACATTGATTACTTACTTCATCAATATACAATTATTGACTATTTTGCATAATTATATTCAGGAGAAGTTTCAAACTCGTCGAATAATCACACAAAATCAGAAGCAAAAACGTTGGCGACTTTTCAACAGGTATATTCTAATGACTGTTAGGAAAAATGCAAAACATTAAGATCAAGCTAATCAACTGTACAATTATTCTACCTAATATAACGGCGCTGTTGAGTGTGGTTTACTTTTGTTAAAAATATTTACTCAAAAAAAGTACGCACGTAAAACAATCTTATCCATAACAAACTGCTAATAAAAGAACGTTTTTGTATTTCAAGGAGAGTCTTTAAATAGTCGAAACTAGTGACAAAGTTTGCAGAAAAAAACAGCGCTTTTATGGAAAGATGCTTTCAATGAACATAACAATGGTATCTTCATATTTCAGACAATTATTTGTTAACCCATTCGAACACATATATATATGCATTCTTCGTTATTGATTATTTTTGTAAAAAATCTGAATGAACAAAAATATATAGTATACACTGTTTTCCATTATACATTGATTACTTACTTCATCAATATACAATTATTGACTATTTTGTATTAATTTCAGGAGAATGTTTAAACTCGTCGAATAATAACACAAAATCAGAAGCAAACATTTGGGCGACTTTTTAAACAGGTATATTCGAATGACTGTTAGGAAAAATGCAAAACATCAAGAATAAGCCTATCAACTGTACAATTATTCTAGCTAATATAACGACGCTGTTGAGTGTGGTTTAATTTTTATTAAAAATATTGACTCCAAAAAAATACGCACGTAAAACAATCTTATCCATAAGTAATTGCGAATAAAAGAACATTTTTGTATTGCAAGGAAAGTCTTTAAAATACCGAAATTAGTGACAAAGTTTGCAAAAAAATACATCAGCCCTTTTATGAAAAGATGCTTTCAATGAATATAACAATGGTAACTTCATATTTCAAAAAATTAGTTGTAAACCCATTCGAACACATATACCTGCATTTTTAGTTATTGATTATGTTTGTAAAAAATATGAATGAACACAAATATATAGTATACACTGTTTACCATCATACATTGATTACTTACTTCATCAATATACAATTATTGACTATTTTGTATTATTAATTTCAGGAGAATTATCAAATTCGTCGAATAATCACACAAAATCAGAAGCAAAAATTTTGGCGACTTTTTAAACAGGTATATTTGAATGACTGTTAGGAAAAATGCAAAACATCCAGAATAAGCTAATCAACTGTATAATTATTCTACCTAATATAACGGCGCTGTTGAGTGTGGTTTAATTTTGTTAAAAATATTGACTCCAAAAAAATACGCACGTAAAACAATCTTATCCATAAGCAATTGCTAATAAAAGAACGTTTTTGTATTTCAAGGAGAGTCTTTAAAAAGTCGAAACTAGTGACAAAGTTTGCAGAAAAATAAATCAACGCTTTTATGAAAAGATGCTTTCAATGAACATAACAATGGTAACTTCATATTTCAGACAATTAAATGAAAACCCATTCGAACACACATACCTGCATTTTTAGTTACTAATTATGTTTGTAAAAAATATGAATGAACAAAAATATATAGTATACATTGTTTTCCATTATACATTGATTACTTACTTCATCAATATACAATTATTGACTATTTTGTATAATTAATTTCAGGAGAATTTTCAAACTCGTCGAATAATCACACAAAATCAGAAGCAAAAACGTTGGCGACTTTTCAACAGGTATATTCTAATGACTGTTAGGAAAAATGCAAAACATCAAGATCCAGCTAATCAACTGTACAATTATTCTACCTAATATAACGGCGCTGTTGAGTGTGGTTAACTTTTGTTAAAAATATTGACTCCAAAAAAGTACGCACGTAAAACAATCTTATCCATAAGCAACTGCTAATAAAAGAACGTTTTTGTATTTGAAGGAGAGTCTTTAAATATTCGAAACTAGTGACAAAGTTTACAGAAAAAAAAAACAGCGCTTTTATGGAAAGATGCTTTCAATGAACATAACAATGGTATCTTCATATTTCAGACAATTATTTGTTAACCCATTCGAACACATATATATCTGCATTCTTAGTTATTGATTAATTTTGTAAAAAATCTGAATGAACAAAAATATATAGTATACACTGTTTTCCATTATACATTGATTACTTACTTCATCAATATACAATTATTGACTTTTTTGTATAATTAATTTCAGGAGAATGTTTAAACTCGTCGAATAATCACACACAATCAGAAGCAAACATTTTGGCGACTTTTTAAACAGGTATATTCGAATGACTATTAGGGAAAATGCAAAACATCAAGAATAAGCTAATCAACTGTACAATTATTCTACCTAATATAACGGCGCTGTTGAGTGTGGTTTAATTTTGTTAAAAATATTGACTCTAAAAAAATACGCACGTAAAACAATCTTATCCATAAGCAATTGCGAATAAAAGAACATTTATGTATTGCAAGGAAAGTCTTTAAAATACCGAAATTAGTGACAAAGTTTGCAGAAAAATAAATCAGCCCTTTTATGAAAAGATGCTTTCAATGAACATAACAATGGTAACTTCATATTTCAGACAATTAGTTGTAAACCCATTCGAACACATAAATATCTGCATTCTTAGTTATTGATTATTTTTGTAAAAAATCTGAATGAACAAAAATAGATAGGATACACTGTTTTCCATTATACATTGATTACTTACTTCATCAATATACAATTATTGACTATTTTGTATTGTTAATTTCCAAAGAATGTTCAAACTCGCCGAATAATCACACAAAATCGGAAGAAAACATTTGGCGACTTTTTAAACAGGTATATTCGAATGGCTGTTTGCAAAAAGCAAAACATCAAGATCAAACAAATGAAATGAACAATTATTCTACCTAATATAACAGCGCTGTTGAGTGTGGTTAAATTTTGTTAAAAATATTAAGTCAAAAAATGTACGCACGTAAAACAATTTTATCCATAGGCAATTTCTAATAAAAGAACGTTTTTGTATTTCAAGGAGAGTCTTTAAAAAGTCGAAACTAGTGACAAAGTTTGCAGAAAAAAACACAAGCCCTTTTATGAAAAGATGCTTTCAATGAATATAACAATAATAACTTCATAATTCAGACAATTAGTTGTTAACCAATTTGAACACATATGTCTGGATTCTTAGTTATTGATTATTTTTGTCAAAAATATGATTGAACAAAAATATATAGTATACACTGTTTTCCATTATACATTGATTACTTACTTCATCAATATACAATTATTGACTATTTTGTATTATTAATTTCAGGAGTATTTTCAAACTCGTCGATTAATCACACAAAATCAGAAGCAAAAATTTTGGCGACTTTTTAAACAGGTATATTCGAATGACTGTTAGGAAAAATGCAAAACATCAAGAATAAGCTAATCAACTGTACAATTATTCTACCTAATATAACGGCGCTGTTGAGTTTGGTTTAATTTTGTTAAAAAAACTGACTCCAAAAAAATACGCACGTACAACAATCTTATCCATAAGCAATGGCTAATAAAAGAACGTTTTTGTATTTCAAGGAGAGTCTTTAAAAAGTCGAAACTAGTGACAAAGTTTGCAGAAAAATAAATCAACGCTTTTATGAAAAGATGCTTTCAATGAACATAACAATGGTAACTTCATATTTCAGACAATTAGTTGTAAACCCATTCGAACACATATACCAGCATTTTTAGTTATTGATTATGTTTGTAAAAAATATGAATGAACAAAAATATATAGTATACACTGTTTTCCATTATACATTGATTACTTACTTCATCAATATACAATTATTGACTATTTTGTATTATTAATTTCAGGAGAATTATCAAACTCGTCGAATAATCACACAAAATCAGAAGCAAAAATTTTGACGAATTTTTAAACAGGTATATTCGAATGACTGTTAGGAAAAATGCAAAACATCAAGAATAAGCTAATCAACTGTACAATTATTCTACCTTATATAACGGCGCTGTTGAGTGTGGTTTAATTTGGTTAAAAATATTGACTCCAAAAAAATACGCACGTAAAACAATCTTATCCATAAGCAATTGCTAATAAAAGAACGTTTTGTATTTCAAGGATAGTCTTTAAAAAGTCGGAACTAGTGACAAAGTTTGCAGAAAAAAAACAGCGCTTTTATGGAAAGATGCTTTCAATGAACATAACAATGGTATCTTCATATTTCAGAATATTATTTGTTAACCCATTCGAACACATATATATCTGCATTCTTAGTTATTGATTATTTTTGTAAAAAATATGAATGAACAAAAATATATAGTATACACTGTTTTCCATTATACATTGATTACTTACTTCATCAATATACAATTATTGACTATTTTGTATTATTAATTTCAGGAGAATTATCAAACTCGTCGAATAATCACACAAAATCAGAAGCAAAAATTTTGACGAATTTTTAAACAGGTATATTCGAATGACTGTTAGGAAAAATGCAAAACATCAAGAATAAGCTAATCAACTGTACAATTATTCTACCTAATATAACGGCGCTGTTGAGTGTGGTTTAATTTTGTTAAAAATATTGACTCCAAAAAAATACGCACGTAAAACAATCTTATCCATAAGCAATTGCTAATAAAAGAACGTTTTTGTATTTCAAAGAGAGTCTTTCAAAAGTCGAAACTAGTGACAAAAATTGCAGAAATATAAATTAGCGCTTTTATGAAAAGATGCTTTCAATAAACCTAAGAATGGTAACTTCATATTTCAGACAATTAGTTGTAAACCCATTCGAACACACATACCTGCATTTTTAGTTACTTATTATGTTTGTTAAAAATCTGAATGAACAAAAATATATAGTATACATTGTTTTCCATTATACATTGATTACTTACTTCATCAATATACAATTATTTACTATTTTGTATTATTAATTTCAGGAGAATTTTCAAACTCGTCGAATAATCACACAAAATCAAAAGCAACAATTTCGGCGACTTTTTAAACAGGTATATTCGAATGACTGTTAGGAAAAATATAAAACATCAAGATCAAGCTAATCAACTGTACAATAATTCTACCTAATATAACGGCGCTGTTGAGTGTGGTTTACTTTTGTTAAAAATATTGACTAAAAGAACGTTTTTCTATTGCAAGGAGAGTCTTTTAAAAGTCTAAACTAGTGACAAACTTTGCAGAAAAATAAATGAGCGCTTTTATGAAAAGATGCTTTTAATGAACATAACAATGGTAACTTCATATTTCAGACAATTAGTTGTAAAACCATTCGAACACATATATCTGAAATTGAGAATGGAAATGGGGAATGTGTCAAAGAGACAACAACCCGACCATAGAACAGACAACAGCAGAAGGTCACCAACAGGTCTTTAATGAAGCGAGAAATTCCCTCACCCGGAGGCGTCCTTCAGCTGGCCCCTAAACAAATATATATACTAGTTCAGTGATAATGAACGCCATACTAAACTCCAAATTGTACACCAGAAACTAAAATTAAAAATAATACAAGACTAACAAAGGCTAGAGGCTCCTGACTTGGGACAGGCGCAAAAATGCGGCGGGGTTAAACATGTTTATGAGATCTCAACCCTCCTCCTATACCTCTAGCCAATGTAGAAAAGTAAACGCATAACAATACGCACATTAAAATTCAGTTCAAGAGAAGTCTGAGTCTGATGTCAGAAGATGTAACCAAAGAAAATAAACAAAATGACAATAATACATCAATAACAACAGACTACTAGCAGTTAACTGACATGCCAGCTCCAGACTTCAATTAAACTGATTGAAAGATTATGTCTTCATCATATGAATATCAGGCACAATCCTTCTCGGTAGGGAACTGCAATCTTAGTTACTGATTTTTTTTGTACAAAATCTGAATGAACAAAAATATATAGTATACACTGTTTTCCATAATACATTAATTACTTACTTCATCAATATACAATTATTGACTATTTTGTATTATTATTTTCAGAAAAATGTTCAAACTCGCCGAATAATCTCACAAAATCGGAAGAAATCATTTGGCGACTTTTTAAACAGGTATATTCGAATGACTGTTTGCAAAAAGCAAAACATCAAGATCAAGCTAATCAAATGTACAATTATTCTACCTAATATAACAGCGTTGTTGAGTGCGGTTACATTTTGTTAAAAATATTAACTAAAAAAAGTACGCACTTAAAACAATCTTATCCATTAGCAATTGCGAATAAAAGAACGTTTTTCTATTGCAAGGGGAGTCTTTAAAAAGCCGAAACTAGTGACAAAGTTAGCAAAAAATTAAATCAGCCCTTTTATGAAAAGATGCTTTCAATGAACATAACAATGGTAACTTCATATTTCCGACAATTAGTTGTAAACCCATTCAAACACATATATCTGCATTCTTAGTTACTGATTATTTTTGTAAAAAATATGAATGAACAAAAATATATAGTATACACTGTTTTTCATTATACATTGATTACTTACTTCATCCACATACAATTATTGACTATTTTGTATTATTAATTTCAGAAAAATTTTCAAACTCGTCCAATAATCACACAAAATCAGAAGCAAAAACGTTGGCGACTTTTAAACAGCTATATTCTAATGACTGTTTGCAAAAAGCAAAACATCAAGATCAAGCTAATCAACTATACAGTTATTCCACCTAATAATGGCGCTGTTGAGTGTGGTTTAATTTTGTTAAAAATATTGACTCAAAAAAAGTACGCACGTAAAACAATCTTATCGATAAGCAATTGCTAATAAAAGAACGTTTTTGTATTTCAAGGAGAGTCTTTAAATAGTCGAAACTAGTGACAACGTTTGCAGAAAAATAAATCAGCCCTTTTATGAAAAGATGCTTTCAATGAACATAACGATGGTTACTTCATATTTCAGACAATTAGTTGTAAACCCATTCGAACACATATATCTACATTCTTAGTTACTAATTATTTTCGTAAAAAATCTGAATAAACAAAAATTTATAGTGTACATTGTTTTCCATTATACATTGATTACATACTTTATCAATATACAATTATTGACTATTTGGTATTATTAATTTCAGGAGAATGTTCAAACTCGCCGAATAATCTCACAAAATCGGAAGAAAACATTTGGCTACTTTTTAAACATGTATATTCAAATGACTGTTTGCAAAAAGCAAAACATCGAGATCAAGCTAATCAAATGTACAGTTATTCTACCTAATATAACGGCGCTGTTGAGTGTGGTTTAATTTTGTTTAAAATGTTGACTCAAAAATGGAAGCCACTTAAAACAATCTTATCCATAAGCAATTGCGAATAAAAGAACGTTTTTCTATTGCAAGGAGAGTCTTTAAAAAGTCGGAACTAGTGACAAAATTTGCAGAAAAACAAATCAGTGCTTTTATGAAAAGATACTTTCAATGACGATAACAAAGGCAACTTCATAATTCAGACAATTAGTTGTAAACCCAGTGGACAACATATACCTGCATTTTTAGTTACAGGTTATTTTTGTAAAAAAAATATGATTGAACAAAAATATAGAGTATACACTGTTTTCCATTATACATTGATAACTTACTTCATCAATATACAATTATTGACTCTTTTGTATTATTAATTTCAGGAGAATTTTCAAACTCGTCGAATAATCACACAAAATCAGAAGCAAAAATATCTGCGACTTTTTAAACAGGTATATTCGAATGACTGTTAGGAAAAATGCAAAACATCAAGATCAAGCTAATCAACTGTACAGTTATTCTACCTAATATAACGTCGCTGATGAGAGTGGTTTAATTTTGTTAAAAATATTGACTGAAAAAAAGTACGCACGTAAAACAATCTTATCCATGAGCAATTGCGAATAAAAGAACGTTTTTGTATTTCAAGGAGAGTCTTTAAAAAGTCGGAACTAGTAACAAAGTTTGCAGAAAAATAAATCAGCGGTTTTATGAAAGGATGCTTTCAATGAACATAACAATGGTAACTTCATCTTTCAGACAATTAGCTGTAAACCAATTCGAACACACATACCTGCATTTTTAGTTACTGATTATGTTTGTAAAAAATGCAAATGAACAAAAATATATAGTATACATTGTTTTCCATTATACATTGATTACTTACTTCATCAATATACAATTATTGAATATTTTTTATTATTAATAAGAGGAGAATTTTCAAACTTGTCGAATCATCTCACAAAATCAGAAGCAAAAAATTCGGCGACTTTTTAAACAGGTATATTCGAATGACTGTTAGCAAAAAAGCAAAACATCAAGATCAAACTTATCAACTGTACAGTCATTCTACCTAACATACCGGCACTGTTGAATGTGGTTCTAATTTGTTTAAAATATTGACTCAAAAATGTAGGCACGTAAAACAATCTTATTTATAAGCAATTGCGAATAAAAGAACGTTTTTCTATTGCAAGGAGAGTCTTTAAAAAGTCGAAATTAGTGACAAAGTTTGCATAAAAAAAAAATCAGCGCTTTTATGAAAAGATGGTTTCAATGAACCTAGCAATGATAACTTCATATTTTGGACAATTAGTTGTAAACCCATTCGAACACATATATCTGCATTCTTAGTTAATGATAATTTTGTTAAAAATCTGAATGAACATAAATATATAGTATACACTGTTTTCCATTATACATTGGTTACTTACTTCATCAATATACAACTATTGTCTATTTTTTATTAATGATTTCAAAGAAGTTTCAAACTCGTCGAATAATCTCACAAAATTAGAAGCAAAAAATTTGGCGACTTTTTAAACAGGTATATTCAAATGACTGTTAGAAAAAAGGCAAAACATCAAGATCAAGCTAATCAACTGTACAATTATTTCACCTAATATTACGGCACTGTTGAGTGTGGTTTAATTTTGTTCAAAATATTGACTTAATTCAATGTAGGCACGTAAAACGGTCTTATTCATAAGCAATTGCGAATAAAAAAAAGTTTTTCTATTGTAAAGAGAGTCTTTAATAAGTCGAAACTAGTGACAAAGTTTGCAGAAAAATAAATCAGCGCTTTTATGAAAAGATGCTGTCAATGAACATAACAATGGAAACTTCATATTTCAGACAATAATTTGTAAACCCATTCGAACAAATATATCTGCATTCTTAGTTACTGATTTTTTTTGTGAAAAATCTGAGTGAACAAAAATATATAGTATACTCTGTTTTCCATTATGCATTGATTACTTACCTCATCAATATACAATTATTGACTATTTTTTATTATTAATTCGAGGAAAATTTTAAAACTCGTCGAATAATATCACAAAATCAGAAGCAAAATATTCAGCGACTTTTTAAACAGGTACATTTGAATGACTGTTGGAAAAAAATCAAAACATCAAGATCAAACTAATCAACTGTAAAAGTATTCTACCTAATAAAACGACACTGTTCAGTGTGGTTTAATTTTGTTAAAAATATTGACTCAAAAAAAAATGTAGGGACGTAAAGCAATCTTATTCATAAGCAATTGCGAATAAAAGAACGTTTTTCTATTTCAAGGAGAGTCTTTAAAAAATCGAAACTAGTGACAAAGTTTGCAGAAAAATAAATCAGCGCTTTAATGAAAGGATGATTTCAATGAACATAACAAAGGTAACTTTTTATTTCAGACAATTAATTGTAAACCCATTCGAACACATATAGCTGCATTCTTAGTTATTGATTCTTTTTGTCAAAAATCTAAATGAACAAAAATATATAGTATACACTGTTTTCCATTATACATTGAATACTTACTTCATCAATATACGATTATTGAATATTTTTTATTATTAATTTGAGGAGTATTTTAAACTCATCGAGTAATCTCACAAAATCAGAAGCAAAAACTTCGGCGACTCTTTAAAACGGGACATTCGAATGACTGTTAGAAAAAAAGCAAAACATCAAATCAGACTAATCAACTGTACAATTATTTACCTAATATAACGGCACTGTTGAGTGTGATTTAATTTTGTTAAATATATTGACTCAACAAAAATGTAGGGACGTAAAGCAATCTTATTCATAAGCAATTGCGAATAAAAGAACGTTTTTCTATTGCAAGGAGAATCTTTAAAAAGTCAAAACTAGTGACAAAGTTTGCAGGAAAAAAAATCAGCGCTGTTATAAAAAGATGATTTAAATGAACATAACAATGGTAACTTCATATTTCTGTAAATAGACCACTTTCGAGTTCATCCGTCACCGGAACAAACTCGTGAATTATGCGCGCCTTTATGACGTCATTTACCAGATAGAGGGGATCCCCTGTATCCCTGCACTATTAACGTTCAGCAAGCGTCTAAGTGATCGTCATTGTGCAGGATAAACCAGAATTAACGTTTGTTTTGTAAGTACTTAATCACAATTCCCTAATGACATCAGTGCTGATTTTCAATTATGAGAATTTAATTTGCCGAATAATTCGTGCAATATGGCATTATAGTTTTCCAACCACTCGCTCAACATTGGAACGGAAGTGACGATGCCCCTAAACGCACGAATGATGTTCACTAAAACCAGAGATTTTGACAGAAATGCATGGACTCGAAAGTTGTCTATCAATTGTAAACCCATTCGAACACATATATCTGCATTCTTAGTTATTGATTATTTTTGTAAAAAATCTGAATGAACAAAAATATATAGTATACACTGTTTTCCTTTATACATTGATTACTTACTTCATCAATATACAATTATTGACTATTTTTTTATTAGTAATTGCAGGAGAATTTTTAAACTCGTCGAATAATCTCACAAAAAAAGAAGCAACAAATTCGTCGACTTTTTAAACAGGTACATTCGAATGACTGTTGGAAAAAAATCAAAACATCAAGATCAAACTAATCAACTGTAACATTACTCCACCTAATATAACTGCACTGTTGAGTGTGGTTTAATTTTGTTAAAAATATTGACTCAAACAAATGTAGGCACGTAAAATAATCTTGTTCATAAGCAATTGCGAATAAAAAAAACGTTTTCCTATTGTAAGGAAAGGCTTTAAAAAGTCGAAACTAGTGACAAAGTTTGCAAAAAATAAATCACCGCTTTGATGGAAAGATGCTTTCAATGAACATAGCAATGGAAACTTCATATTTCAGACAATAAGTATGTAAACCCATTCGAACAAATATAAATGCATTTTTAGTAACTGATTATTTTTGTAAAAAATCTGAGTGAACACAAATATATAGTATACACTGTTTTCAATTATACAATGATTACTTACTTTAGCAATATACAACTATTGACTATTTTTTATTATTAATTTGAGGAGAATTTTCAAACTCGTCGAATAAGCTCACAAAATCAGAAACAAAAAAATTCGGCGACTTTTTTAACAGTTATATTTGAATGACTGTTAGAAAAAAAACAAAAAAAACAAGATCAAGCTTATCAACTGTACAATTATTCTACTTAATATAACGGCACTGTTGAGTGTGGTTTAATTTTTGTTAAAAATGTTGACTCAATAAAATGTAGGCACGTAAAACAATCTTATTCATAAGCAATTGCGAAAAAAAGAACGTTTTTCTATTGCAAAGAGACTCTATAATATGGCGAAACTAGTGACAAAGTTTGCAGATAAATAAATCAGCGCTTTTATGAAAAATGCTATTAATGAACATAGCAATGGAAACTTCATATTTCAGACAATTAGTTGTAAACCCATTCGAACACATATATTAGAAATTTTTAATTGATGTTTATATTAGTGTTTCATGTTCTGTCCGACTCGGCTTCTGTCAAAAATCCATTATTTATTTAGGTGGACGATACACATTTTATTACTAGATTTATGATGTCTGTGGTCGAGACGGCAATGTTTTCTTAACCGTCTCATGAACTTGGTGCACGTGTTAATTTTCAATCTTTGTCAGGATTATTCAGTCAGTTGCATTAATTAGCTAGTAGCAGTAGCAGTGAAAAAAATTCAAATCAAATTTTTCGGTTATTTCATAACTATTCTTACAATGCCAACATAACTATACGAATTACGACAGTATACTTATTGTGTTTATATTATACACCCGCAACATTTTCAACAAGAGGTATGAAGATTTAGAATTATACTCGATATTTGACACTTTAGATTGTGTCGAAACGGATCCGGATGGGAATAAATGCTTTATTCTGCAATTTGTGAGATTGCTTTTACTTGGAAACGAGTAGGTTGATTACTAGTGATGTGTTCTATTAGACGCTACTCAATTATTTGTTCATATAGAAATGGATGCTAAATTTCAAATGGTAACAACTATGTATATAAATATATCTAGTATACAACACTAAACGTACGTCAGAATTTTTCACTAGTTTGTTATTTACGCTTGCGTTTCTGTCAATGCCGATATTTTCTGCTAATGACTCGGAGTGGATATTGTCTTACAGATAAGATTGCACTGGTATACCAACATTTTTAGACGTGTCTTGAGAATCTGGTACAAATTTATCTTCTAGAAAGGTCAGTTTATTGTATATTTCAGTTTCTAGATTTTTCATTGATTCTGAAAGCTATCGTTAAAATAGATATTTTTAAATGATTAATAATCGATAGACATGTCATCTCAATTCATATTTTGGTCATACAACAAATTATGCGTGCAGTTTGAAACTGACGAGCAGCAATTTAGCATGCTCATTTGAATTATCTACACATTCACATGATATAAGATCTACAGAAGAGAATTTATTGCGCCTAATTGAGTTCACGATGTTGTATATATATTTTCGACATTCATAGAACGTACGCGTGTAGTCAAGAGACAGAAACAATTACTTTCTATTTATTTATATATACATATATATATATATATCTTTTATTTTTAAAGAATTGTTGTGTTACACAAGGTTCGCAAGTGCATAGGTTCATCTTGAATGTGAAATTTTCTATTTAATATTTGTTTTATCATTGACATGTTTATGGTGATCACCTGATTTAGCACGTGCACATAGACTTCAGATTTTGTATACCATGTACATATGGAACTATGATTACAGAGATGTTACACCAGGTTGTATTTAGTAAACGTTACACTATACTCTTATAGATCATGATACATTATTATTGTTAACACTCAACAAGACTACGTTCTGCATTGAGGCTCTTACTTGACAATAGGCTACGGATTCACAAGAATCATGAGAATGAGAGTAAAATCATCGGACTACAACACATTTATTATATGGTACTAGATGATGCCCGCGAAATCACGGTACAATTGGGCAAACCACGGGGTTCTTCCTATGCATTGGTTTAAAAATGCAATTTCACATTTACAATTTTACAAATGTATGTTCATACATGTATATATACACTTTACCAAATTTACATAGTTAAGCAGATACATGTCCATTCGCTGTAACTATTCATACTCGACTCTCCCGCATGTCATATATTATATTCACTTCATGAAAGTTTTCGACACTTTCTACATGTAACACCCATCAAATATCATTTACCTCTAGTCCACAAAACTACTTGTACATTAAACTAACAGTCATTAAGACTGTCTGTTATAGTTCATCAAACAATTAACCTTCAAGTATTCAACAACGACGACCTTATCAATTTACCTACGTAAATCTGATTACAGATTAGGAAAATTAACGAAATTAAGGTTCCATGACACAATGAATGATAGACAAGTCATGCAACTTAACGTTTTATCCTAATATATATACATTTGTCCCCGACAATGATTACATACTATGAGCAAGTAGAAAAGGATATGGTATATATCAATTCATAACACAATATCACAATATGCTTTTATTGCCGTCCTTTATCTCAAGTCACACTGACACTTCAACATAGGGCAAACATCTAACTCATCACAAGTTCAGATGTCACGATACAGTAATAGTTGGATTGATTGAATCTATTATTTTACTACTTACTAGTAGTTGGTTTTTTTTTTGTAATTTGGTTGATTATTACTTAGTAAGGTTTAGTATGTTAAATGATACCAGATATTGTGCACACAGTTACATTCGTTTTTTCTTTATTTCATATTTGGAATATGGAGGAGAAGCTCTTTGTCTGTTGTGGAGGAGAAGCTCGTTGTCTGTTGTTCATTCAACCAATTGGATAAGTGATACTTATAGCGTATTTATGTGAAGAACTGACATCATGATCAACTGAAGTTATTGAAGAGGCCTAAATACATACGATCGCGTGAAAAACTGCAATTTAGAACTTTTGCTGACAAATTATCTTCATCACTGTTTATATTTACATTTGACATATTGTAAGCTTACTATTTCACCGACGTAATTTTTTTAAATACATTGTATCAACTACAAGAATAGTATTTATTGTCCGACCGAAGTCCATTTAGACTGCATAGAGATATTTTGTCCAATAACACAATTAGACAACGATTTTAGCGGACATTCCTTTCAATCAGGCGTGGCTAGCAGCATTATAATTTCATTGTTCAAGATTGATGGCATCGCTTGTCCGTATTAATTGCTATTTCAGATGTTTCGTTTCAGAAAGCGAAGTAACTATAAATTTAAAAGCTACGAAGACAGATATTTTCCGACAAGGTATTAATTTCATTGTTCAGGATTGATGACATCGCTTTTTCGTATAAATTGCTATTCCAGCTGCCAGCTGCTGAGTGTAAGACGAAACCTATAAACGCAAAGCATAATGATTCGTTTTTCGTTGAAGAAATATCGGAAACCCAGTTTCCCGGAACTATTTTATAAGCAAGCTTAAAACAATACTCATGGCATTAGGATATTGTGAAAAGGATTATAGCGGACATTCCTTTCGATCAGGTGCGGCCACTAGCGCTAGTTCTAAAGGTATTGAGGACAGCATGATACAATCACTGGGACTTTGGAAATCAGATTGTTTTAAACGCTACAGTAGAACATTTAAATCGGATATTAAATCCACGATCGGTTATGACTTTGTAACATGTCCTACATCCTAGCCTTGTGTCTTTTCTTTTCACGTTGATCTCAATATTGTGGTTAAGGATTTTTATATTGACATTAATTTTCTCTAGATCAACTTTAATTTTAACAAGACACAAGGCTTCATCAGGCACAACATCTTCAAATTTTGGGGTTACTCAATATGCAACTTGGGCAGGCAACATAACGTTACATATTTCGTTTTGGGCTATGATATTTTATTTTGGCCAAATATAATATCGTTCCCCAAAATTTTCTGAGTAGTTAGGGTGCCTACGTACCTTAACGAGGAATAGTCTCATCTTGATTGCTCAACAGCTCTATTTCACGTCGGTCTATGCCCACAAAGATTTACTCTTATGCGGTACCACGTGGAAAATCAAGTAAGGCTATACCGCTCGGGAACGGCTTGCTAAAGTACTCTGAGACAAGTAGACTGGTAGACGTACACACACGTGTATGCAAATACCCCTATGGTGACGCATTTCTGTCAAAGATATGTGGCTAGCTCAGGCACAGTATTTTAGCGGCACATTATCCTTAATTATCTGAGAACACACTATCATTTTATGTACATACTGTGTGCTTTGTGTCAACTGCAGGTAGCATGTAATTTGTTTTGTTCTTGATTTACAATATGACAGAACTGAGTGAATTACATGATACTAGAGAAAAAATATCCTCAAGCATTCACACAGTGTGCCGCGCACACTGCTCGGATAGTTAAGTATAATGTTGGCGTCAGTTAGTTTACATTCATCGCTTTTTATTCAATGACGCCAAGGAAGTTTTCTGTAACATAACGTGTTGCCCTTAAGCCCAAATATTTGCATAATAAAAATAATTATTTTATCATGTTTTATATTTTTTCAGTACTTCAACAATATCAGACTGGGTATCTGAAATACTTCCTGCTGGACGTTTACAGGCTTTATATCAACAATAACTACTTTTGTAATTATGGTATAGTGTCTGTGATCGTTCTTATAAGAGTGGTCGTTAATAGCTATCAATTATCTGCGGTCAAGGTTTATTTATATTTAGCTGTATATCTCTAATCATTGTTCACGCTAGTAATTCTCTTATCAATTGGTCTATTAAGGTCAACGCATTGAGGTTTTATTAGTTAATTGGCTTTGGTCTGCTGTGTCGGTACTTACTTAGATCATACGCTTGATGTGTATTTTATTATGTTTGAAACATGTTATATAAATCTGCATTATAGTTACTGATTATTTTTAAAAAAAAATCTGAATAAAAAAAATATAGAGTATACACTGTTTTCCATTATACATCAATTACTTACTTCATCAATATACAATTATTGAATATTTTTTATTATTAATAAGAGGAGAATTTTCAAACTTGTCGAATCAT